CCTATTTCCTCATGAGTGATGGGACAGCTACCATGGCAGAACCTTTGTCTGAAAATTCTGTGCAAACCCTGGCCCCCAGTGGTTTTCCTTGCCTGGAGAGTACATTTGGCTACTGGTTCTAGCTGCCCCCCAGCCAGCATGTTGCCCAAAGGGAAGGCAGGGCAACAGAGTCTGCATTCAATTCTCTATCCTTATCTGAATTAGTGTAGCCTTCTCTGCTGCTCTTGGCTAAGAGTATCAGGTAGCCAGCCATTCCTACTCATGCTAGCATCACATGCCTTTCATACAAAGTCTACCTTATATTTGTATGACATACTATTACATCAATATTATAAAAATGAACATTTTCCGACATTTTTATAAATTACTGGAGAATTAAATTAGAAGAACAATTTACATAATAACAACACTGGAAAGACAACTGAAAGCCATAAGAACTCCCGTCAACCCAATGACCATTCATGATTGTAGAAGGCTGATGATGAAGCATGCTATCAGAGAGGTGATGGATTCAGGTGCAGAATGAGAGCTATGTCTGTGAACACAGTCAATAAGGAATTTTTTTTTTGTTTAGCTATGCACATTTGTTAACAAGGAATTTTTTTTCCTTTCCCTTTTTTTTTTTCCTGGTGGTGTGGTGGTTACAGTACCAGGCCTAGAATCAGGAAGATCTGATTTCATATCTGGTCTCAGACACTGGCTAACTTGTGAAAATCACTTAACTACTATCTGCCTCAATTTCCTCAATTGAAAAATGGAGATAATAATAGCACCTCCCTCCCAGAGATATTGTGAAGATCAAATGAGATGATATTTGTTTGAAACACTTGTTGTATCTTTTTAAAATTTTATTTTAATGGGGCAATGGTGTTGAGTGACTTGTCCAAGGTCACACAGCTAGTGAGTGTTATATGTCTGAGGCTGGATTTGAACTCAGGTCCTTCTGACTCCAAGGCCAGAGCTCTATCTCCTGTGCCACCTAGCTGCCCCTAAAACATTTATTATAGTGATTGCCACATAATAGATGCTATATACATGTTTATTCTTTCTCCCCTTTCCTTCTTTCCTTCCTTTTCAGTAGAGTGAGTTGGGAGGAGTGAAAATACATATTTGTTAATTTAAAACATAATAATATTTAAATAGACACTAGTAAAAGCTTATCAGAGGAGGCTCTTTCTAAAGCTTTCTTTTTCCCTGTCCACCTCTCCCCCTGATTTAATGAGTCACAGAATCACAGAATATCAGAGATGAAAAGGACTTTCAAGGTCATCTAGTCTAACCTCCCTCATTTTGTAGATGAGGAGACTGAAACCCTGAGAGGTAACTGAGTTTTCCAAGGTCACATACTTAGTAGGTACTATTATTCCTTTTTTTTTTTTTGCCTTTTTTTGTTTTTAGGCAATTGGGGTTAAGTGACTTGCCCAGGGTCACATAGCTAGTAAGTGTCAAGTGTTCGGTCTGAGGCTGGATTTGAACTCAGGTCCTGACTTCAGGGCCGGTGCTCTATCCACTGTGCCACCTAGCTGCCCCTGGTACTATTATTCCTTACGTGAGCGTTAGGCTTCCCTGAGCAATTGGTGTAGCAGAAGGATGCAAATCACTATGATTTCACACAGATATAATAAGCATGAATCTCTCCCCATCCATTACCCATCAATTTTAACAGTTCTACTGAGGTCAAATTATTTTGCCCAGAGTCAGCAGTGAGAAATCTCCACGTATCCCCTCATCCTTCACTCCTGCTTCGTGTCCTCCTGACTTACTCTTCACCATCATTCCAAAACAAGTCCTTCTGATAGGTGCTCCAATGCCTATGAAGAAAATCCCATTGGCCTCCTATTGGTGATCTTTCCAGGAGTGAGGATGGATTTGCACTCCCTCCTCTGGACCAACTAAAACCAATAAAGAATAATAATTCATATTTTATAGCTCTTTGAAATTTAAAAAGTGCTTTCCTCTTCATAACCCTGTGAGATAAATGTGCAGAATGTCTCAAAAATCTTAATGGAATCATTCTTTGAAAACTGAAAAAAAAGATGTAAAAGTTCCTTTTGAACACTTCTGGGTGGAGCTAAGATGGCAGAGAAAAGGGAGCAACTTGCCTGAGCTCCCCCCAAAACTCTTCTGAACACCTTTAAATAATGCCATAAAATAATTCCTGGAGCAGCAAACCCCACAAAGAATGGGTTAAATAGTTTTCCAGCTAAAGACAACTTAGAAGGTCAGCAGGACCTTCTGTTGCCCCTGGATGAGAATGGAGCACGGTCCAGTGAAGGCCATGCCAGCACAGATCCAGCTTCAGCAAACCAGGAGCAGGCCTTGGGCCACTGAATCAGCAGTGGCAGTAGCTGCTTCTAGAGCTGTCAGCCCATAGATGGTAAGGGGGTTGAACAACTGGTCAGAAAGAGATTAGGGAGTCTCTTTGCTACCACCGAGGCAGGACTCTCTTGCTTTGCCCATAATCAGATGTGCTTCACAGTTCTGGGTGGCAGTCCCAGGGCCAAGCACTAGCACGCTGGAGCCAATGGAGTGGAAACCCCCATCACAGTTCTGGAGGAGGAAAGAGTGCTTGTGGTCACTCATAGACCAGAGCACAGGCCAAGATAGTAGTAAACGCACCTCCCCTTAGATCATACCACCTTGGAAGAACCGAAAACTTACAGGTCCCTGGAAATATCTCTGAAAACAGCTGCACAAAACCCGTGAAGCTTAGGACAGTGCAACCTCCACCCTGGAAGCAGAGCTCCACTTTAACAAAGAATTAAAAGTCAAGATATACTCTGGGAAAATGATCAATTAACAGAAAAAAATTCTGACCATAGAAAGTTACTCTGGTGACCAAGAAGATCAAAACACATGCTCAGAAGAAGACAACAAAGTCAAAGCTCCTACATCCAAAGCCTCCAAGAAAAATATGCATTGGTCTCAGGCCTTGAAAGAGCTCAAACAGGATTTTGAAAATCAAGTAAGAGAGGTAGAGGAAAAATTGGCAAGAGAAATGAGAATGATGCAAGAAAATCATGAAAAATGAGTCAACAGCTTGGTAAAGGAGATACAAAATTATTGAAGAAAATAACACTTTAAAAACAGACTAGGCCAAATGGTAAAAGAGGTACAACAAAACTAATGAGGAGAAGAAAGCCTTAAAAAGCAGAATTCACTAAATGGAAAAGAAGGCACAAAATCTTACTGAAGAAAATAATTTCTTAAAAATTAGAATTGAGCAAATAGAAGCTAATAACTTTATCAGAAATCAAGAAACAATGAAACAAAACCAAAAATAATGAAAAAATAGAAAACAATGTGTAATATCTCACTGAAAAAAATAACTGACCTAGAAAATAGATCCACGAGAGATAATTTAAAAATTATTGGACTGCCTGAAAGCCAGGATCAAAAACAGAGCCTAGACATCACCTTTTAGGAAATTATCAAGGAAAACTGCCCTGATATTCTCAAACTACAGGGTAAAATAGAAATAGAAAGAATCCACCAATCACTTTCTGAAGGAGATCCCAAAATGAAAACTACCAAAAATATAGCCAAATTCCAGAGTTCCTGGGTCAAGAAGAAAATATTGCAAGTAGCCAGAAAGAAACAATCCAAATATCATGGAGTCAGGATAACACAAGATTTAGCAGCTTCTACATTAAAGGATCAGAGGGTTTGGAATATGAGTGATATTCTAAAGGGCAAAGAAGCTAGGATTACAACCAAAACTCACTTACCCAGAAAAACTGAGTATAATTCTTCAGGGGAAAAATGGACATTCAATGAAATAGAGGATTTTCAAGCATTCTTGATAAAAAGACCAAAGCTGGAGAGAAAATTTAACTTTCAAATACAAGACTCAAGAGAAGCATAAAAAGGTAAACAGGAAAAGGAAATCACAAGGGAATTAATAAGGTTAAACTGTTTACATTCCTATATAAGCAGATGTTGTAACTCATAAGAACTTTCCCTTTATTAGGAAATTGTGGGGATGCCTGCCAATTGGGGAACGATTGAACACATTGTGGTATGTGATTATGATGTAATGCTGTTGTTCTATAAGAAATGGTGAGCAGGATACTCTTAGAAAAACCTGGAAAAACTTACATGACCTGATGCAAAGTGAAATGTACTGTCTATAAAGTAATAGAATTATTGTAAAATGATCAGCAGTAAGTGACTTAGCTATTCTCAGCAATACAATGATCCAAGACAACACTGAAGGACTTATGATGACAAATGCTATCTATCCCCAGAGAAAGAACTGATGTTGTCTGAATGCTGATTGAAGGACACTTTTTAAATTTCTTTATTTTTCTTGAGGTGTGTGTTTCCCATTTATTTATTTATTTATTTATTTTGGTCTGTGTTTTCTTTCACAACATGACTAAGATGGAAATGTTTTGCATGATTACACATATATAACCTATACTGAATTGCTTGCCTTCTAAATTGGAGGGTGGGGAGGGAGGAAGGGAAAAAATTTGGAACTCAAAGTTTTTAAAATGAAAGTTAAAAATTGTTTTTAAATGTAATTGGGGAAATAAAATACTGAATAAGTTTAAAAAAAAAAGAAAACTTCTAACTTTATCTTGGCTAACCAGAGAGAAAGAGAGAGAGAGAGACAGAGAGAGAGAGAGAGAGAGAGAGAGAGAGAGAGAGAGAGAGAGGTTTGTCTCACCTTGGTTAATGTATATAGGTTTGTCCCTAGAGACTGAAGAGTAATATTGTGCCTGGACATATTGCCTCTAGAGCCTGAAGAGAGCCAGGAAAATCTAGGACAAAGAATGGGAGGTTTCTTAAAGGTACCATAACTACCTCTGACTCCAGTTGGCTTTATCAACTTAACACATCTTTAAAAGTGTCCGGTTGACTAATGATTTTTCAAGCACCTTCAGTTAATTAATATGCACCAATGCAAACTGCTATGTGGCTTTTCATTCAAAATGTTCAGTCAAAATGAATGAATGAATAAACAAAAATAAGTGAATGCAATGCAGTAACATTTATTAAGCAATACAGTATGCTAGGTACTAAGGGTACAAATACACAAATAAAGACAACCCCTTCTCTCAAGATTACATTCTAATAGGTAGAAAACACACACAGGGCTGTGGTGACTGAGGAGGGACACTTTGGTCTGGATGTTTGCTGGGATATCAATTAGGAGTATAGTGGAATAGATTGATGCATCTCTCTAGGAATAAAGGCAAAGGTGATTTGATCATGGAAGTGATGGGTTGGGAAGGGTACCCACAAGGTGGTTGATGATATTATTGAGAATATGGTTGGAGAGAAGGGAGTGAAGTGAAGCATGGTTGAGGCCTTCTTGAAATACTGGGCCAGGAGATAGTCCCCGAGCAGATTATCAGGGGCCAGCGGGCAGAGATTCCAGAGAGGAAAGGTGGTTGGCACATCAGCAAAATTTCTGAGGTTGTCTAGGAGGTAGATAGAGAGTAGGAAGTGAGAAAAAAATTTCCTTCCCTGTGATTACCCAGAAACCCCTAGCTTCTTAGAATTTCAGTCCCAACTACCCAAAATTGTTGACCAATCACTTTGAAACAGTTTGACAGATTTTGTGAATCCTAATTGTTCTCGGCCTGCGATTTTGGTCTCCTCATCGTGGAAGTCTACCCAACCATGCTGTTACTGTGTAGGCTTGGGTCCGGGCAGTTAATTTGCTGCTGACCCTGGGGAAGAAGTCTTAGAGCCATTGGTGGGGAGTTGAACAAAGGAGTGCTATTTGTTGGAAGGAAGTCTAAGGCAACTTCTTACCTTCTCTGTAAGGCTTGATCAGTGACTCAGCAATACATGGTGAACTTGATCCACTAGGAAAAAAAGAAAAACATTATTATCTTCAGGACCCCCCTCCCACCCTATTCCTCCCTCACCTTTGCTCAAGTCCAAGCAGAAAGCATATTGTAGCTTTTCACATTAATGCAAATTCAACTTCCTCCAAACATTTTTTAATGTCTCCTTCCATCATTGTCCAGTACCCCAGGGCAACAGATACTCTATTATCCTGGGTTGTTCCTGTTCCTCTATATCCTTCTTTTACCTTGGCTAATCCCAAGTCAAGGAAAATAACTGGAGAGACCACAGTAAGGTTGAAACAGTTTCCTCCAAAGCTTCCCTGGATGCTCATATATTTCTCCTGTCACCTCAGTAGAAATAGGAGAGGCCAGCATGTCAGAGAGATGTGCCTATTGGTTAGGCCTAGAGACTATTTCTTTACCAACCCAACATAACGAAGTTAAATGGTGCCCCAAGCTCAGAGTTGTTCCTCCTATCCCTCCTGTATTTATTACTCCAACATAATCTTTTGGTTTATTAAGCCTTTGGGAAAAAAATAAAATCCATCTGCCAAGACCTTAAAGCAGTGCTAACGGAAAGCAATATATAAAGGCTGTAATTGGGGAGAGGGAAGCTGCTGGGCTCTGATGTACTGCATGGCACCAGGCTTGCTCAATATGTCCACAGAGATGAATGTCTTTGGATTAAGTCCAAGGAAAAATACCATCTTGCTAAAAGAAGATCAGTGCCTGGGCTTTGGAGCTTCTACGCATTGAGATACAAAGAGGAAATAGCCTTACCTCAGTTTCAGTCAAGTAGAGTCCTTTCCCATCTTTTGAGAGGTTATGAAAAACCCCTAGATAGTGATTGTGTGTGTGTGTGTGTGTTTGTGTGTGTGTGAGAGAGAGAAGAAAAAGAAGACAAGAATATCAATGAAATATTTTAAAAATGCACAGAAGTTTAGAAGGTGTCCCCCTTCTAGAAAAACAGGGCAGTTTTTTTACCACTATGTTGAATTTAATTACATTTGAAAAAGCTGTGTGTAATAAAGCTTCACAATTTCAGATGCAACCCATCAATCAATCAACAAATATTTACTAAGCACTCTCCAAGTGCCAGACACTGTGCCTAAGGATACAAAAAAAAAAGCAAAACCATTCCTGCCCTCAAGGAGCTTTCATTCCAATGGGAGAGACTATTTGTGTAGAAATAGGAATATACAAAATGCACAGAGTAGACACAACCCTCCCTTTCTGTTGTTCTTTATATATTACAAACATATTCATGTTGGTTAAATTCATAATTTTTTAAAATGGCGGGAAAGCCTATGGGAAGGAAAAAAAGGGGTATTTCATTCAGAGGAAGAAAAGAAGAGAGAAAGGCAAGTGGAAGAGGCAAGTGGAAAAGTAAGTAGGGTTTTACGTGCTATTGGCATTTAAAAAAATCTTCTTACTATTCCTTTGCTCACATTGTCCCTGCTTACAAGTCCTCTTTCCACTTATCCTTCCATATAAATCCATCTCTTTATCCTTCCAAAGCTCAGCCCAGGTGCCTTTCCCTCTCCAAATAACTTTTTCTGATGACTCTAACTCACACTCATCTCTCTCTGCTCCATATTTCTTTAGCAGTGAGAGCTGGGGTCACAAACAATAATATTCAGTTGTCTTCTGTTATATTTGGCATACTTTATTTTTTATTTTGCAGCATTAATCTTGCTTCCACAAACATACTGTGAGCTCCCTGGCATAATGGCTTGGTAAATCTTAGATTTCTTCATGTATTAATAAAGTCTAGTATAGACTCAGACATGCTATAGAAACTTAATCAATACTGGTTAATTGATGCCAGAATTGTACACCAAAGTCTTTTTCTCAAGCTGCCTTTGCCAAGTCCTCTGCTGCTGATCTCATGATCAGAGATATAGAACTGGAGGGGACAGCAGAGACCATATAGTCCAACTTGCCCATTTAACAGATGATGAAACTGAAGGCCAAAGAAGTCAAATGACTATCCTAAGTTTGGAGATATAATGATTGGCACAGCTGTGATTCAAACACAGAGGAACATTCAAACACCCTAGGAAGGTCACTTTCCTGCTCTGTACCTATTTTCTCCTTTGAAAATTGGCAGTGACTCATGAATAAGGGAAGAACTCAGTAACCTGGCAGCTCTTTCAGACTTGATTTAAAGTCTATAACAATCTCACTCTAAATCCCTCGTTGAGAATGGGCATTTAAGGATGGAGGGAACAAAGTAGGTAGCTGCCAAGATAGAGAGATTTCAGGGACAATGGGAGAAGGACTGCTTGCCAATATATCCCCCCTCTGATTGCTAAAGTCTGAAGTTATTGTATCCAAGGGTCAAAAATGTCATTCTATCCTTAAGAGAAAGATAACAATATTGATTTGAATTCATATTGTGATATAAATGACTGATATTGAGACATTGATTGATATTAGGGAATTTGAAGAGGATGAGGAAGAAGGGAGGGGGCGCTAGGTAAATGAAGAGGAAGGAAGTCCTATGTTGGGGGAAATGATGAAGAGATACTGGAGGCACCCAAGACAAACAAGGACCATTTGACCCAAGTCCAAATCACTTGTGAGACCTTAGGAAAATCTTTTCCTGATTCTGACTCTCAGTTTCCTTATTTGACTATGAAGGGGTCAGACTAGGTAGAATCTAGGGTTCCTCCCAGATCTCAAATGCAGTGATCCTCTGAATTTTACCTTTTTTTTTTTAAACCACTTTGCCTAAAGTTGGCTCTGTTCCTTCAGGCCTATTGAGAAAGGGTACCTCGTCTATAGACATCTGCTGATTATAGAGGCAGGACCCAGTTAGCTCCACCTCCCTTCCACCTGATCTTCTCTGAAGGTCAGTGATGGTAATCTCCCTAATTGTCTTCTGCCTTGTCAAACTCGACGTGAGTGAGAGCTTCCCAGAAGTTAGGCCCCCCATTAGCTTTACTTACTTGACACGATTTCAAGCCAGATGAGGAAATAGATCATGTCTGCGAAATATATTTTTCCAGCTCCAGCTCCATACCTAATGGCTCTGAGATCTAGTAGCTCACTGTAAATGAAAGTATCTAGGAATAATTCTGATGACAAAGGAGTGTGTTATTGACTCAAGATGAGAGTTAAGTGAAGAGGCCAAGCATGATTGGCCTTGGCCTTTTTTGCCTTCTAGGACTTTATGAAACCTGCTTAAAGATGGAACTGGGACATAGTAACCTTTCCTCACTTTCCCCCCCTTTTTAACTTGCTAGGAGTGTCCAGCATCCCTTCACTGTAACACATTCACTTTGACTTACCAGAAGTTAAAAATCTAGGTGCTTTGGAAAACAGACTTATGACATTAAAAGTAAATGCATTTATAATAAAATATTAAATTGAAAACAATTCCTTTTGGTGACAACATGAGTGTTGTGCCCTGGACAGCCACCTACCTTACCTACCCCTAGGCCAGCCTCAGTTCAAGGTGTACTTCTGGTAAAACCTCAATATTAACTGATAAATCTTGCCCCTGAATTTAAAGCTTTTTCTGCCACTTACATGTCTTTTTCTATTTGCCTCCTCCTTCTATGTATCAGACAGATTTCACTCAATTTCATTTAGCTCCAAACCCCTCCTGAAAAGGATCCATCAATCTGCCAGGGGATATTACACTCCGGCTGGCCAGATGCTGAGATGGAAGCATCTTTAATGTGAGCTCCCTTTCCAGGAGCTTATCAATCAGACAGAGCTATTTTCTCACAATTAGAGATGCTCGGGGGAGAAAAGCCAATTAGGAAAAACATGCCAACACATGAGAAACCTGCCGGGTGCTGAGAGTATCTGAGCCCTGGAAGCCAGTAGAGGTCAGCAGAATGAAGGAACTCAGTGCAATGCCGTCCTTTCTCCTGAAGCCATCCAGCTTGGCTGGAATAATCTTGCTTAGAATATGTTAGCTATATCTCTCTCTTTCTCTCTCTCCCCTCCCTCCCTCCCTCCTTCCCACCTTCTCTCTCTCTCTCTCTCTCTCTCTCTCTCTCTCTCTCTCTCATATTTTGAAGAGGACAAGAACAAGAGTCATACATGATGAGAGAGGAGGGAAAGGTTACAATCTGTACAGTTTGAGGAAGTACCCATATTGAAAGATCACAGACCCATTCTAGTCTTGGATCATTACAAAAGAAAGCCATTGGAGGGATGGTCTGTTTTTGAACTAGCTAGTTATACTATCTGCATTTTAGTAACTCCAAAAAGCTCTGAGAGGCAGTGTGGCATAGTGGATGGAGAACTAGCCTCCGGGTCAAGCAAACTTGTATTTGAGACTTGCCACTGACACATATTAGCTGTATGACCTTGAGCAAGTCATTTAACCTCTTCTACCTGACCCACTGAAATAACAGTAATCATTTTAATAATTGACATTTAAGCAGTTTAAAGTGCTTTACAGTCTTCAAATACCACTTTAAAAAAAAAGAAATTACATACTTCATCTCAAATGAGCTTCACAGAAACCCTATGTAAGATAGACACTGTGAATATTATTATTCCCATTTTATAGATGAGGAAACTGATGCTCATAAAGGTGAGGTGATTAAACCCTTAGCTTAAAACCCTTTTGTACCTGATTCTTGTATGACTTTCCACAGATCCGAACCCATGAGGAAGCCAGAGCCATTCTTCTCTACTTTCCGGAAAATGTCCTTACATGGGAAAAGAATAAATTCATTCATTAAACTAAGAAACAGAGAGTGTAAAGATCACTGTGCTAATCACTGGGAGAGAAACATAGTTTAAATGAGACATGGCCCCTGATCTCAAGACCTTTCCTCACAAGGTATTTAGGCTGGAGCAAGTACTATTTATCCTCGTTTAAAAGATGACCAAATTGAGGGACATTAAAGGACTTGTCCAGAATCATGCAGCAAATGCTAGAACTAAAATTTGAACCTGACTCTAACTCCAGCTAGGTTGCTCTATTGATAAAACATCGGGCCTGAACTCAGGAAGATTGGAGTTCAAATCTAGCCTCAGATAGTTACTATCTATGTCACCCTAGACAAGTCACTTAACCTCTGTCTGCCTTCATCTATAAAATGGGCATAATAATATGATCTACTTCTCAGTGTTGTTGTGAATATAAATGAGATATTTGTAAAGTGCTTTGTAAACCTTAAACCACTATCTAAATATAATAATAATTATTAATAATGTTTTACTACTTCTCTAAGAACTGAAAAGTCAATGAGAGTTTAAGATTCTTATCTTTAAAATGATGCTCTGGAGCTTCTCAGCAGAAGGTAAGCTTCTTGAGGACAAGGACTGTTTTGTTATTTTTACATATTCAATGCCTAGCACAAAGCCTGGCACATAGTAGGCATTTAATAAATGCTTGTTGATTGATTATTCATGAAGGTTATTTTTATAATACTGCAATAGGATCTGGCTATGGAAAACAGGTAAGGTAGAGATGAGGAATGGAATAAAATGCATGAGGGCCAACAATACACTTAAAACTGCCATGGCTGGACTACTATTATTGCATCTGCAGCAGTCTTGGTATTCTCTGCTTATTTCCTTTGCTATCTATTGCCTTCCCCTAATTCCCTCACAATGGCTTGCTTGTTTTGGGCCACTATTGTTCTAACTAGATCTGTTTCCTTCCAACCTGTTTAGCATGGGTTGTGTATCTCTTTCCCTTGAAGGTCACCCAGAAACACCTATGGGGGGTTACTGCTTCCAGGCAAAATACCAAGAAGGCAGGTTGTGGGACTGAATGTATCTTTGGGGAGATTCTGGTTGGGATGATTTATGAGAGACCAAAATAGCAACATGGAAACTTTTCATGGAAACATGGAAAAATTGGCTTTTGCTCAGCTCTTGGTGTTTGCTTTATCCTAAATATAAAGGAAGACCCCAAATCTTCTCAATTCAACAAGCATTTATAATAATGGTGGCATTTATATTGAGCTTTAAAATTTACAAAGTATCTTATTTACCTCATTTGATCCTTACAACAACCCTGTGAAGTGGGTGTTTTACAAAATTTACAAATTCCTCATTTTACAAATGAGAAAACTGGGGCTCAGTGAGGTGGCCTGACTTGCTTGGGGTCCCATAGCCAGTGAGTAGCTGAGGTGGGATTTGAACATGTTATATAATGTAACTCTCTAATTTTAACAGATTGGGCATTTGAAACCCAGAGGAGCAATGTGACTTGCCCAAGGTCACACAACTAGATCAACTTAGATCAACAAGCATTTCATAAGCACTTACTATGTAAGTTATGGGGATACAAATGCAGAAGCAAGAGAATCCATATCCTTAAGGACCTTATATTATACTAGCTAGTTAGTGACAGGGCTATGGCTAAGGTATACGTCTTTTCACTTCCTCATCCAATGCTTTTTCCACTATACCTGAACTGAACTGAACTTAATAAGAATTTAGTTCATTACCTGACATTGAATAAGCTTCTTCCACAGCTGCCTAAATTCTTCTATGTCAAGACGTCCATTGACCTTGACCTGTGCCACAAGGGGAGTTAAGATCAACCCTCTGCAGTGTGAGCAGGAAGGCTAGTTCTAGCCTTGCCATCAATGGAGCCATGCTTCAGTCTCAAGCTAGAAAACCAACAGCTGCTAGACCACCCAGATCATCATGAGCCAGTTATATTTCATTTGGACTTAATGTCCAACTCCTAAAATACACCTGGCTTAGATTTTTCTTCAAGAGAAAGACAAGAACTAGGAGTTCAGCTGAAGGAGAAAGCCCCACTAAGTCTTCAGCGGGTGGAACAGACCCATAGACTGTCTTCCATGGTTTGGGGAGAGTTTTTTTTTTTTTTTACGAATATCAGTAACATTTATTAAGCACATCAGAGTTGGGATGGAGAAACTTACCCCCCTCTCTGATTTTTTTTTTGTGTTGGTAGAGCCTGAGATGGGAAAGCACTTTCCAAAAGCCCTGCATAAATATGAGCTATTGTCTGCTGAATAAATGCACCTTGAAGATATCCTCAGCATTGTTCATGCATCCTTCTGAGCTATGTCTACAAATGCACACTCATTTTTATAAATTTTTTTCACCTCTAAAGGTTCAGTTCCACTTTCACATCCATCTGACTTTCATAAGATTTCAGGAGATGCCACACCTCTTCCTTCAAGTATTTTTCACCTGCTAGGGAGCACAGCCAGTGAAAAAAGAAGGATCTAGCAAATGTTCCAGCTGGGCATGAATGGGGCTGAAGTAGGGATCAGTCTGGATCTGAACAATGAGTTTATTATTGCCTCTTTCCTGCTTCACCACTGTAGCTGCTTCCTATGAGAGCCATCATTCTCTCATGGCAATCCTGGTGGTTAAAGAAAGCCATATTGCCATAGATGTACCACTTGACAGAGCAAGACAAGGTCTTTCCTATATAGTTGGTGGGGGGTCATTTAGAGAGGGTCATTTCAGGGTCCCAAAGCAGTAAGTTTCTATGTTTACTCACTCCCTGCTACTGCCTTCATCAAATAAAACACTTCTTATATTTGAAGGTCAGAATAGGTCATACTGTTCAATGGTCTGGACAGCAACCTATGGGTGAAACAATCCATCTCAGAAATTTGAGACATGAAAGGAAGATTGGTGAAAAAGACTCTGTCAGCTTTTTGCATATGCCCAGCATTCATAGGTTTTTGTAAAGCTGCCTGCCCTCTACAGGCAGTGGGCTTGCTTCTGGCCATTTTTATTCATCTGTCAGAGATCTGTAATGTCCTAATCATGTTGCAGAGCTATTCCAAAACTCAGCAAAAATATTGGGAGAGACAGGGGGCTGATTTATGTTTTCATCAAGAAGCCCTCTTGTTCTACAATGACCAGCAATGCATTTCCAATAGAGTCTTGTTAACAGTTGGAGAGTGGTGTGATCTATCTCACTCTAAAAGGTACAGCAAATGCACAGGAGCACACATGTATGCACACACACATATACACACGCACAGAGGATGAATAGCTTCTAAGGCAGCTACCAAGGAGATTTCATGGTGGAGCTGGTTTCTTTTCTCTCCTACTCCCTCTCCCCTCCCCTGTCTCTCTCTGTCTCTCTCACTCTGTTTTTGTCTCTTTCTTTTTTGGTATCTCTCTGCCTTGTCTCTGTCTCTGTCTCTCTGTGCCTCTCTGTCTTTCTGTCTATCTTTCTCTCTCTCAGCCTGAAATATAGAGGGGATACTGAATAGGAAACTTGTTGAGAGATGATTGAGATTTTCTCAGAAAAAAAGGAGTAAAAGGATGTTGGGCCAAGGAAGGTTCAGGAAGGCAGCTTCTCTTTCTCCCTCATCTAAATAATCTAATATAATTATGATAATATAATATAATAATAAATAATCTAGATAATCCTCAGTAAAGGACCTGATACACAGTCAAAAGAATGACTCAGGTCACAGGATCTGAGTTCAAGTCTTGTCTCAGACACTATATGACCTTAGGAAAGTCTCTTTACCTCTATGGGCTTACTCTTCCTCATCTGTAAACTATAGGGTTGGACTATCTGGTGTTTGATGTCCCTTCCACCTAGAAATAGATGATCTTATGAGTTAAGTTAAAGCTTAGCGTGACATTGTCAACGTGTTACATCTCCCAGGGATCTTTACATTTTAAGCCTCATATCTAGTTATAGAATGAAAGGTCTTATCCACTGTATGAGGAATTTCAGACACATGTTATTTTGTCTTCAGCTCTCCCCTGTATCCATAGGACTACCTCTACTTCTACCTTTCGGCTGTTTTCAGTCTCCTCTCTCCAACTGCTGAAGAGGCATCTGCACTAGAATGCCCCTCCCCTCCTTCAGCTTATTGCTATTACCTCTAAAGCTAGAAGGGACCTCAGAGGCTGCTTAGTTCAAAGACCTCATTTTAAAGACAAGGAAAATGAGATCCAGAAGGGTTAAGTGACTTCTAGGTCATGCAGGTAGTATATTGAAAGTATCATTTGAACCCAAATCTTCCAAAAGCAGACTCAGTGTACTTTTCACTTTACCAATTGTGCCTTCAATTCAGTATGTTTAAAATCAATCATTATCTTTACCTCCACATCTAACTTCAGCTTCTCACTCTCAATATTTGGAGATGAACTCAACAGATTAGGTCCTAGAGAGCTTGTGGACAGACTCAGTGGAGATTCATTCCCTCATATGAGTCCTTAGACTACTGAATGATGAGAAATGGAATTAGTCCTGAATTTCCCATACCAAGCTTCTTTAGGGAATCTCAGAATGGTGACATATGTGATAGAAGTGGCTTTAGAGTGAGGTGAAATGATGGGGAAAAGAGACAACATGAAGGATCCATCCATTAGAGCCAAAATACTCCAGCACTCATCAAAGGTGAACTTTCTCTCTAGGGGTTCAGAAGAGTTACCTGAGGAAAGAAAAAGGACAAAATGGTGGGGAAATAAGAAGCAATGACTATATTTGCTAGGGTATAGTAGGTGACATTCTAACTAGGCAAGCATCTCTTACTTTTAAGGAGTTCTTTGTTGAGAAGGCTTTGTAGCTGTGAGGCATCAATATCTGGGCCCTACGGCAAAAAAAGAGAAGAAGGTTGGAATAGTAATAGCAATGATTATTAAAAATAGCACTCAGCATCTGTCTGATACACAACACCTGACTTGCTATAGAAAAGCCAAGTATTCTAAGGAATTAATTCACATAGTACATAGAATCCTGGAGGCATAAGCTAAGCCTCACTTGCATTATACAGTTTTTCTTGGCCATAGGGATCTTAATTTCCTGTGAACTCTGTACTGCCAAAGTACTTACTAGATGTATTGCTCCTTTGGCACTTAACACTGTCTTCTGGCATGATACTCTTTTCCTTTTAGTTCATTTAAATGTAATGTACATTTTAAAGCATCTACTCTGTGCCAGGCACTTGCTGGATTCTGAAGATTCAAAGATAAAAATGAAAAAAATCCCTGATCTCAAAAAGTTTGCATTCTCTTGGAGTTACGAGAAGTAAAAATACACTACTTTTGAGGAAGGGAGCTAAACACTAGAGATCAGGGAAGGTATACACCAAAAAGGAGCTACATCTTACACTGTTTTGTATTTTCCATAGTATCTAGAACAATGCTAATGACAGAAAAAGAAGGCACTCAAAAATATGTTGATTACTCTAGCCTTCCCATTATACAGTGAGAAAATTCAAGACCTTAAAAAAGGATGAGAGTGTACTCTGAGTGTGTGTCTCTCAAGCCACTTACTGTTCTATCCCTTAGCAAAAAAAAAAAAAAACAATGATCTGTGATAATCATGAAAGCCAGTCATGCCCTGGCTTGCCTAGCATCTAGAGAGGAAAAGGGAACAAAGCCAGGTGGAGAATACTAGCACCCATATCTCTCCTCATTCTTGATTAATCTGGTTGTTATAGACTATCCCTTTTCAGGGAGACTAGAATTGCTATTATAGAGAACTAGAATTGGCCCTTAGTAAATTTGTATCAGATTGTTCTTTGTCGCTTGTCTGTCTTGCCTTTTGACACTTACATCCTTACAAACTCTTAGGGTACAAGGTAAAGAAAGCTGTACAGTCAAAAGACCTGGGGTGACCCTGCCTGTGACTTCAGGCATATCACAGAATCTCCTTGAGACACAGTTTCTTCAATTGTAAAACAAGGAGGCATTAGACTAGTTGTCCTGGAGGATCCCTCTCTCTTTCTGATCCTTCTTCCTCAAGGGCCAAGTGAACTTGTCAGCACCATAGCTATAGGTAACAGCAGAGCTAGCAGCGACAAGCTTAGTCAGGACCATGGATAGGGAAAGATCAGCCATGGCCCTCTCTGAGCTCTAAGACTATGATGGGCAGACAGGCAAATTGCTGGCAGTTATTAGACCAGCTGATATTGTGGAACCTTTTGGCAGATTCATTTGTTCATCAAGAGTAATTTAGTTCCAGATAACCCTTCGGGGCACAGGCCTTCCTCAATTACATTTGAGGGACTTCCCTGATATAGGCATGTCTCTGTGTCTTTCTTGGTATGGGAAATAAGATACAGGTAATGAGGTATAGAAATCTATCCTGCCCTACAGGAAAATAGAAGGGGAATGGGGATAAGAGAAGGGGGGGTGATAGAAGGGAGGGCAGATCGGGAGTATTCAGAATGCATGCCATCTGGGGAGGGAGGAGGGGAGAGATAGGAAGAAAATTTGGAACTCAAAATCTTGTGGAAGTGAATGTTAAAAACTAAAAATAAAGAAATTAATTAATTTTTTGAAAAAGGTGGTGAAGGAAGCTCTGCATTTTCCTCTCTCTGGGCATAGGCATGTTATGACTATGCTTGTATCTCCCTAATGGTTGAGGGGTAGGAGGAGTCAGGCTTCTGATATAGGTCACCCTATGATTCTGCAGCATCTAGGCTCTATTCCTGAGATTGTAACTGTCTGCCTTCAAGGCCTTTATTTTTGAGGTATCCAGATATGACACTTGTACCCTTGTACCCTCTCCCCTCCACCTTGTCAAAAGCTACTTTCAGGAAAGTATCTGACATTTATACTTTAGTGTAACCTTAAGTCAATCTGTCACCTCTTCCAAGAGTCATTTTGTTCCAACACTTACCTTTAAATCTATAATGAAAGAGTTTGTCCTCTTCTTCAAGGAATTTCAGTCACATATTCTCTAGACTTTAATTATCACCTGTACCATATGAGTCCTTAATCCTTATCTCTAATCCTATCGCTTTCTGAGCTTCTGTTTCACATCTCTGATTGCTAAGCATTTGTATTTGAGCATCCCACTCTCACCTTACATTGAACATGTGTAAAACTAACTTCATTATCTTTTCCTCAAAACAAGCTGCCCATTCTGACTTCTCTGTATTAACCAAGGCATTGAATACATTGTGGAGAATGTATAAAAATAACAAAAGATGAGAAAGTATGGATTGTTTTTCAATCGTGATTCAATCTTCATTGATCCCCACCAATGAGAGAGCATATCCATTGAAGTATTATTATTGTTCAGTCATTTTTCAGTTGTGTCCAACTCTTCATGACCTCATTTGGGGTTTTCTTGGCAAGGATACTAGAGTGTTTTGCAATTTCCTTCTCAAGCTTATTTTACAGATGAGGAGCTGAGGCAAACAAGGCTAAGTGGCTTGCCCAGGATCACATGGATAGTAAGCATCTGAGGCCAGATTTAAACTCAGGAAGATGAGTCTTCCTGAATCTACACCCTGACACTCTATCTACTGTGCCACCCAGCTGCCCTGAATTGTCCTATCAGTCTTCCAGGATAGATAAATTAAAATCATTCTCAACTCTTCATTCTTTGTCTCCTTTGACAACCAGCCAGTCAGAAGATCCTATTTGTTATTCCTTTTTATAATTTGCTTTCTTTCCTTCCTATTCCAATTGCCCTGTTCTTGTCTCTTAATGCCAGACAACCAAAAAGTCTCATAGTTCCTGTTTTCCTCTGCTCCAATCCATCCAACCTATCACAGCCAAATTAATGTTCCCAAAATATCACTTCACATACATTATTTCCCTGTTCAAAAACCTTCAATGGTTCCCCATTGCTTTCATAATAAAATTCATTTTTAAGCTGGCTTTCAAGGCTCTTCAAAATCTGACCGCTCTCTACCTACATTTCCAATGTTATCTCCAACAACCCTTAATCTAATTGACTCCCTCATGAACTATCTACTCTAGCCAAATTGGACTTAGTCATTGTTCCCCGAATATGCCATTTCTTCATCCTGAGCAGTGCCTGGAATGCCGCTGTCCCTTCTCTCTATTTTTCTAAATCCTATTTTACCATCTCTGTACAGAGTAGGTACCTGACAAATATTTTCTCTTTCATATTGTACCCTTCAAGTCCAAGCTTCTCTATGGAATGTCTGACTGTTCAATAGTAATGGTCATTGTCTCTGCCACTCACTGGACACTTAACAGATGCTATCTTGTTTTGTTAATTTTCTTCATATATCTTGTCTTCTCAAATAAATAACAGATTCCTTGAGCCAGGAATCTTGTACCTGTCCCCAGTAGCTAACATAATACCACATTTAATGAATTATGATGATGAATAAAGGACCCTTCCTTCCCTCAATATATCTACCACACAATACTCAGCCTTGGTCCAGATACTGAATTAAATTAAATAAATTCTACAAACATTTCCAAGGCACTTTCTGTGAGCCAGGAACTAGGGTAGGTTAGGGAGATTCAAAGACAAAAATAAAATGGTACCTGACTTTAATGAGCTTATAAGAGGATATAATATGTAAAGAAATAAAAAGTAAGTGTAAAGTACAAGCAATTCAATAAAAAGTAATTTTAAGAGGAAGAGAATGCTATTATATGGAAGGATCCAGAAAGGCTTTGTGTAGGAAGTGGTATCTGAGCTATGATTTGATGTAATCTAGGAGAACTACAAGGCAGAGGTGAGAAGGTAGTACATTCTAGACATGATGGACCCCTTGTGCCAGGGTTAGGGGTGGAGAGGGGATAGGATATCATAAATGTGAAACTCCAACCAAGTCAATGAATGAAGACCTGAATGAATGAAGAGGTAGCTACCAAGGAAATTTCATGGTGGAGCTAGCTTTCTGGAAGTAGAGTAGCATGAAATAAGAATATAAAGGTAAGGGTGCTTTAAATGCCAGGTTGAGGTAGTTATATCTTATTCTAGAGGCAATGGGAGGCCATGGAGCATATTTAAAAATATTAAGGTGCATTACTTAAAGTACATTGCTGTGTGTAGCAGAGCCCTAGGGTGCCATGATGAACACTTATGGGGTGACAGGGGATATTTTAAAATTTTGATTTAACTGCTTAATAAATGGAACTGTTAGGTATTTCTTTTGGTCTTTTGGACACTGTGAAAAAATTACTGAGACACTAAGAGCACTGTGAACTGAGAAAGTCTGGGAACTTTGCTTCAAGTATTTTGTAATTTAGACTTTTCATTGGGATTAGTATTCTCCCCCATTACCTAGACTTAGTAAGGATCTATTAGACTCTAGACTGTATGATGGGGCTGCATGAGAATAACAGTTATTTGGAGTAAGCTAGAGGCTTAGAGTAGCCATCTTTTAGAGGTGGAATTAAAATATGTTAAGCTGTGCAAAGCAACACAAAAGAAGTCATTTCAGGGAAACCAGGGTAGAGAATTCTTCTGGGTAGAAAGCTATTGATTTCAATAGTCAAATACCATCCCTATTGTTTCAGCAAAGGCACAGGAACACTCCCCAAAGGGTCCCTGTTTCCGTGCTTAATTGAATAAAGGGCACCTGTCTCTCATCAAATGGAAGATCTACTGGGACATGGGATGGCAGTACCTAAGAGATAAGTAACATTTTAACCTCTATGATCCCTGAATACTCAGGAATGGGAAGCAGTATGGTGTAGGGTACAAAACCCTAGGCTTGGAGTAAAACAAACAAGCAAACAAATAAACAAAAACTTGGGTTCAAATTGTGCTTGAGAGAGTTATTAGTTCAGTGACCCTGGACTTCTTTGAGTCTCAGTTTCCTCACCCATAAAATGGGGATAATAGCACTTACCTCACAAGAGAGTTGTGAAGATCAAATGAGACAATATATCTAAAATACTTTGATAACGTTAAAGTAGTGTAATGTTAGTTGTTAACTATAACCAGTTTATAGGCCAGGTACAAGCATGGGCTTTGTGTAATAGGTTAAGACCAAAAGATGCCTGGTCATCATTCAAATGTGGTCATAATGCTGCTATTGTTCTTAGCGTAGCCATGATATACCATTGGACTATAAAGAAGAAACACATGTACATACACATATATGTACATATATGTCTACACACATCTATAGTAGATGTGTACATTTGTTGCTCTTTGTTGATCAGTTGTATTCAACTCTTCATGACCCTGGGGATCATACCGTCCATGGGGTTTTCTTGGCAAAGATACTGTAATGGTTTGCCCTTTCCTTCTCCAGTGGACTAAAGCAAACAGAGGTTAAATGACTTTCCCAAGATATATAGCTAGTAAGTGTCTGAGGCCGGATTTGAACTCAAGTCTTCCTGACTCCAGGCCCAGTGCTCTAACCGCTGAGATACCTAGCTGCCTGTATATATATATACATATATACATACATGTACACATACATATGTATTTATATATTCAAGAAGAAGCATATATGTGTGTGTTTTTAAAGTAATTTCAAGAGGGAGAGAATGCTAAAAGTTGGGAGGATATGGCATCTAGCTATACTTTGAAGGAAGCTAGGGAATCTACTGGTTAAGAAGGGAGATTGTTTTATTGATAAAATGGATCGGAGAGGTCACTTAGTATAGTCCTCCTCTTTTTACAGGCCCAAGTGACGTGCCTCAAATCACAGATGTATAACTGCCTCCAGAGTCAAGGCACCCTCTGCTGTGACGTACTGCTGCCCCAAGTTGGTGCATTATATAATCAGGTGAGTCATAATAAGCATTTACTTTTCTACAACATTTTAAGGTTTACAACTTGTAAAGTTTTCCTTACAAAACCCTGCGAGGTAGGTTGTACAAGAATTATTATCTCCATGTTACCGATTAGGAAAGTAAGCCTCAGAAAGACTTGTCTAAGGACACACAATTAGTAAGAGGCCAGGAGTGAGCACAGGTCTTCTGATTCTCAGTCCAATTCTTGCTTTCTAGTCTACACAACACATTGTTTTTTAGAACATCAGGGAAAGCTATTAACGTGTACACACAATCACATGAACACATGCATCAGTCTAAGCCCTTATGTAAATTATGGGCAGTAATTAGTGAAGCCTCTCTTAACAGCTGCTAGAGTGAAGGAACTCTCCTGACTCACACCTCAGCCCCCTCACACAGTGGAAGGGGGAAAGCAGCTTTTCTGTCTGGCTAAACACCAATGTCCTCCATCAGTTTTGTGCTGGAGCAAGCCCTAATTTGCAGCAGGCCACTACACACCCCATGAAAGTTCCGTTGCTCACCACAGGAGAAGATCTGAGGACAGGGAGATAGGGGAAGGTTGTCATGAAGGTTCAGGTGAACCCTTGGGAAGAGAGTCTACTTTAAAGGACAAATGTTCTCTCTGTTTGCATTGTCTAGTGGTAAGTTTGAAAGCAGCATATAAAAGCACTGGGGAATGGGTCATGGAATCTTGTACAATTACATCAAGAGGTGTAAGACTAGTCCTATGGAGGCAGATTCAAGGTGATAGGGTGGAAAGGAGCACACCATTAATACTTAGAAGGTATGCATTAGCTCTGTATAAGGTCTCATAATTTAGGTCATTAAGTATTGTTTAAGGTTAAAACAAAGGATCATGGCATAAGAGTAGGGTTCCTCTCCCACCCAAACTAATTCAATCAATCAACCAGAGGTGATCAATTTTAAATGTGTAAAGATAGTTTATACCCAGTGATCTCTTTTTAAGCTATGGGTCTTTTTTTTTTTAAGTAGATCAAGAAAGAAAGCAATTTGAATGGCTGAGAGGATCAGTGACACCCATGTGGCCCATGTATAAATAGCAGTCAGTCCACTGGGGAATTCAGTCCAGAAGGGTCCGGCAGAATAGTGGAGGATTTCAGCTTTGGAAATGAGAGTTCCAATTGGAGACAAACCCTTGAGGGACAACTGCTCTTTTTGTGGAGAGGAGGGCAGAGTTACTCCCTCTCTCTCCTTTTCCCAGTCTTTTCCATTAATAGGAAACAATGTATTTAATCTGTAGCAAGGAGAGACATGCCACATACAAATATACACACTGAGAGATGTAGAAAAATAGTTGTGGCTACCTGAGGGAAGAAGTACCTTCAAGCCACATGACCCCTTGATCCAAAAAAGAATGCCAGTTTTGGACTCAAAAAAGGACTTCTGGTGAGCAGGCAATCTGGGTTTATTCTGTGGCCATACATGTTATATATATATATATATATATATATATATATATATATATATATATATATATACTATATATATATATATATATATATATATATATATATATATATATATATATATATATATATATATATATATATATATATATATATATATACCTGACTACCACTGTATTCTTATACTTGTGGGAAAGGAGCCTTAGAATTTTGGGAGGAAATATTCTGTTTTTACAATATCACCTTAGCAAATACAGCTTCCTAAAAGCTCTGGTGGATAATCAATGGAAAGCACACTGTCTGCGGTTCATGAATGACAGTGCTAGAAATCTCAACTCCTTAGGGTCGCTTCTGGAACTCTAAAGGGAGGTATTAGGTAGCTAGCTTCTAGGCACTCAGTCCACCAAGGAGAGCAGAGTTGAGGAAATGTTCCTCAAGAGGGTGCTACAATGAGATGGTAGTTGGAAGAAACATTTAGAGGCCATTCATTCTAACCCCTTATTTATAAATTAAGAAATCAAGGAACAAAAATATAAAATGTCTTGCCTAAGGTTCCAAGAAGAGCTGGAAACTTCAAGAAACTTCCTGGTCTGGCTCAAATGGCACTTCCTTCAGGAAGCCTTCCTGATTCATACATCCAAATGTGTTCTCTCTCTATTCACAGAAGAGCACCTTGCTTATCACATTCTTGTGGCACACTTTGCCTTGCATTATGGTCATTTGCGTATGTGCCTTATCATCCTCATACCCTCTTGTTAAACTGTGAATTCCTTGAAGACAGAGGCTGGGCTTTATTCAACATCTCATCCTTTCTTATGCCCAACACCATACCTTTTACATAATATGTGCCTGTAAATTATGATTGGATTGAAGCATATTCTAAATATTGACTGTAAAGGAAAGTGGACCATGAGTACTATCTCTGCTATTTCTAGTTTTTCAAAATCTAACTACTGAATTCAGCAAGCCTAAACCTGATGGGAATTGAGCTTGTTGTGGGGAGGGGGAGGAATGGTATTGTTCCTGGGGTAAGCTAATTTACTTGTCTACCTGTAGTTTTACATCCTTTACTCCAGTAATGATATCATTTCATACTTTGAAGAGCTCCTATTCCTACATCCCAGCCCTTAAGTAACCATTCTAAACTATGTAGAACATAACCTTATTGGGTCCTAAACACAGTGTTTTCGCACCTGCCCATACCTATGACTTGACTCTCTAGCAAACATGAAATAGCAAACCATACCATTTTATCTATCTTCTGCACACTGGATTTTGCTTTCACTGTTAATTATTTTTCCTTCCCTGTGGGATTAGACTCTCTGAAGACTTTGTCTTAGCTCTTTGCTCTTAACCTCATACCTTCAGAGCCAGCCTGACTTTGGGTTTGAACAGTGTAGACTCTGGTTACTTCCATGAGTCTCTATGCTTGGCACATTACATATGCCTGTTTATATCATTTGCACCTTCTCACATTGGTATTACTACTAACTGGAAAGGTCTATCACATGGAGCGCTTGGCAGTGATTTTTCTCTCAACTAAGTCAAGGAGTACTTTATAACAGTTTATTAAACCATTAAGAGCATCTCCTGTGAACGCATACAACTTGGCGAGCAGAGTAGGAATCAATTACTCAAACACTGAGTGATGATGGTACTTTCCAAAGCCAGCCAGCTTGAGCTGGAAATGTTTCCAATCAAGAGGAAAAAAGATTTCAAGGGTTACTGTTAATTGCTTGTTTTTTAAAAAAATAATTATCCCATCCTATACCAAGTCATCCATTCAATTCCAGGGGAAACCTACTGATGAGATGCCATTTCTCTGCAGCATTTGGCAGCCAGATCAATGTTGGAAAGGATTCTCTTGAGGAAGGATGATAAAACTATGCTGCCAGAGATATATTATCTTTTTTTTTTGTCTCTAAGCACTGATAGGAGTCCAAGACATTTCTGTGACTTTACCCTCTGTCATTTGGTGGAATTCTGAATTCAAGGTACTATACCTTGGGCATATCTGTTGAAAATGCTGTCATGATTCTAGATTTCTGGAAGATTTTTCTAGATGAATAAATTTAAAAAACCATGATGATTCTAGATGAATAAATAAAAATAAGTAAATTATGTGCATACTACGTACCAGGCTATGCTAAGATAAAAGGATACCATCACAAAGAGAAACAGTCCCTACTCTCTATCCCCCTTTTTTTCATGAGGCAATTGGGGTTAAGTGACTTGCCCAGGGTCACACAGCTAGTAAGTGTCAAGTGTCTGGTCTGCGACCAGATTTGAACTCAAGTCTTCCTGTCTCCAGGGCTAGTGCTCTATCTACTGTGTCACCTAGCTGCCCCAACAGTCCCTACTCTCAAGCAGTTTGTATGCTTTAGGAAAACAAAAAACAAAAACCAAAAGTCTGGGAAAGAGGATCATAGATTTAGGGCCAGAAGGGACCTTATACAGTTGAGGAAACTGAGGCCTGGAGGTATTAAATGACTTGTCAAAGTCATATGAGTAGTAAGTGGTGGAACCCGGATTTGAACTCTGGTCCTGTGACTCTAAGTTCAAACACTTTTCCCACTCTCCCAATCAGCTCCACTGTGGAGAAATAAAACCCCATGCCTGGTTCTCAGCCAGAGGTCTTGCTTGGCAGCTTGCTCTCTTAACCATTGCTAGTAATGCTCATCTATTGTTACAGATGGGGAAATTGAGGTCCAGGGAAGAAAAAGATTGGCCTTAGGTTGTGTAGATTTAGGATTGAAAACACGATCTCTCTTTCATCCTTGCCCCATCTTGCCAACCATCTAATCCAAAGATTCTGTCATCCATCTTCTCTTTTTCTTTGCATATTTTTTCCTTTGATAATCTCATTTGCTCCCATGGCCTCAACTATCTCCTCTACTAAGGTGACTGCAAAATGTATCCAAAATGGAGTCCATTATCTTTCTCTCAAACCCACTCCTCTTTCTCATTTTACTTTTTCAAAACCTTGGTGTTATTTTCAACTCTTCTTGATTTTCTCACTTCTCATATCTAACCAGTAGCCAAGTCCTATCAATTCTTCTACCATAAGCTCTCTCACATCTCCTTTTCTTTATTCCCATGGCCACATGGGACTGTGTGTAGGCCCTTATTTCCCACCCACCCCTGAACTAGTGCAGAAGTCTTCTCCTAATGGGCTTTCCTGCTCTTCCTCCCTTTCTCTGCCATCCTAAACATGAATGCCAGGAAAACATTCCTTAAGCATCAATCTGGTCATGTCGGTACTCTGTTCAAAATCTTTCAGCAGTTATTTATTGCCTGCCAAATAAATTTCAAACTTCTTTGTCCGGCATGCAAGGCCCACCACAATTTGGTGACAGCCTAACTCTCCAACCTTATATACTGCTAATTTCCTCTAGCTCCTCTATGCTCCAGCCAAACTAGACTACTATCATTCCTCACACATCTTCCATGCATTTTCACCTCCATTCTTTTCTTCATGGTATTCCTTCCTTCTCTCTCTCCTGTTACTGCTTCCCCTTCCCTACTTTATGAAATATTATTCCTCCTTTGAGGCACAGATCAAATACCCCCTTCTCTACAAAGCCTTCTTCCTGCCCCACCCGAGCCCACTTCAATCTTATGTAGCACTCTGTGTTCCCTTCCTTAATGCACTTACATTTTTTGTGCATATAACTTATCCTATGTTATTATGTAATGTTACATATTATTACTACTGTGATATGTTACACATTATTTAAAATATCCCTCCACTACTATAAGCTCCATGAAGGCAGAGAGTGTGTCTTATTTCGACTTTTTATCTCCCTCAGGACCTTGCACAGTGCTCTGCAGGTAGCAGATGTTTAATAAATGGTGGTTGAATTAAACTGATTCAGATGTCATCATTAGCTCATTGTAACCTCTCAAATTATTGTGGGTAGCAGTAAGGAGATAGAAAGAAAATAAACACATAAGCTTTTGGAAATCAGGGTGATTTCCAATGATCTCCCAGCTCAGGCCCCACTGCCTACTTACCTTGAAGCTCATGAACTTAAAGCTTCTGTGGAGATTTCTGAAAATTCAATGGAGAAAATAAGAAAGAGAATGACCAGCATCCAGTTTTAATATGGGGGATGGGAAGGGCATCCCAGGTGGTTGTCCAGTTTATAAAACCAGGAACATGTGGGCATTTAAGTCAGTTGCCTGCTTAGACTACCTATAATCTTCCAGAACAGAAAATGAACTGCAACCTTCTTGAGGTCAGGGAACATGTGGATTATTATTTATCATTTATTAATATTGTTTGAATCTAGCTTTATTTGGTCTAACCCAAAAAGTTTACTGTAGAGGTCAGGCTGACTTCAGAGACAAAATGGAAGATTCTTGCCCTCATGGAAGGATGGTAATAGGAATGCTTAGCTCCCACTCAGTGTTAGTTTTAGGTCCCCTCAGGTGTTATTCTGGATCCACTGAAAGTTTCTGTTTTGGGTTTCCTAAATTAGGGGATCATGGACTTACCTGCTGATAGCTCCAGATTACTCTTCTCTTGGAGGCTACTTGCTGCCTACATGAGGCCAATCAGGCCAATGTTCTTATGCCCTTGTTTGACCTCTATCAGATGCAACCTCACAGACTTGGGAGGGAGATGCTCCTTCTCTCTGGCTATCTATCTTTACTGAATGACCTAGCAAATTCCTTTCTAAAACTATTTCAGATTTTGGAGTTTGCTCTTGTGAAAAAAAGTGTTTCTTCTTTGTATGATTAGCTCTTGCACAGTACAGAGCCTGGCACATAGTAAGAGCTTAATAGGACCACGAGATCATAGACTCAGAGCTGGAAGGTATCACAGAGGTCAAGTCAAGTCCTCTCATTTTTCATATGAAGAAACTGAGGCAAAGAGAGATTGGGTGATAATAACAGCTAGTATTTATAAGGTGTTTTAAGTTTGCAAAATGCTTTACAAATATTATCTCATTTGAGCCTCACAACAATCCTGGCAGGTAGATACTATTATTTCTTCCCATTTTACAGATGAGAAAGATAGAGGTTAAATGACCTGATCATATTCACACAGCTAATAAGTGTCTGAGTCTTCCTGACTCCATGATTCCCCATAGCTGCCTCTGACCTGCCTATGGTCACATAGCTTATAAGTGCTTAGATGGGATTTGAACCCAGGTCTTCCTGACCACAACACATGTTGAAATGAATTGACTGAAGTGTTATAGGAAAGGAAGTAATAAGAAAGTGAGATAGGAAAAGAAGCCTTGGTAAATTCTTCCTTTAGTGGCTGTGGGTCAGTCCCTAGAAGAGCTCCTTCCTTTTTCTATCCCCCTAGTCCAGGGGCCTGGAATCATGGGAACTTGCTCAGCCCATTGGGTAGCGTAGTTTGGAGTATGGAAGACCTGAGTTCAAATCCCAGCTCTATCAGTTACTAGTAGTATGAACTTGGACAAGTCTTTTCCTTAGCTCCTGCCTGGCATGTAGCAGGAACTTAATAGAACCAGAGGGCCATCAGTTTAGAACTGGAAGGGACCTTTCCGGGCCTCACTTTCTTCTTCTGTAAAATGAGGGCATTGGCTAGTCTCTGAGGTTTCATCCAGCTTTATACCTATGGTCCTACGGATTATTAGGTTTTTGATTCTTACCCCAGTCAGCCCTCGTCATTACCACATTTATGTTTTTGCTATTCGCAGGAGATGGTGTAGTTGGCGCAGAGCTTGACTTGGAGGTAGAAAGGCCTGCCTGGGATACCTACTATCTGGGCAATCCCTGAACAAGTGCCTTGACCTCTCTGGGCCTCAGTTCCCTCATATGTAAAACAAGAGGGTTGGATTTGACAACCTTTAAAGTCCCTTCCACCTCTAACTCTATGATCCTATGAACATTTAGGATCCATTCCCCTGCTGGCCCATGATAGATCAGAACAACTTCACCTGTCGACACCTTGATGTTTCAAGAAGATTTGAAGGAAGAACTTCAATTCTCTGTCAATTGTGGGAACCACCACATAGGTGCCAGGGACCAGGTGGAAGCTTTCTGTGTAGTTCCATCTGGACATAACACTCTTGCCCTGGATAGGACTTGTGAATTCAAAATACATGGGATTCAATGGGTTGTGGAGACCACGGAACCGAAGACAGAAAGGACAAGAGTGAGAATCAAACACTTTCTCTACTCAGGAGATAGCTTCAGCCATGTCCCCAGGAGCCCCTTTGATTCATCAGTGCAACATAAACACATCTGGGCAAGCAGCGATCACTGAAACAGCCATCTAGCAAGCTAGCTTATACAGCTATTTCCTAAAGATAACACAAATTAACTCAAAGGAAATGTGGCCAGGAAATTACTTTGGAATTTCAATAAATGAATTTCCCACAGCCGCTTTCTTTGTCCCACCATGTCTGCTCCTCAACTGACTTGCTTTGTTCCATCTACTAATTTTTAATAATCTACTTGCTGTTTTCAATACATGTGTTATATGTAGATATATGATTTTCCCTGTAATTACATGTTTTGACTTCATGTCTTTCCACAGTCTGTACCCCATGCTTAGAGTATTCTCTCTCTCTCTTTCTTTCTTTCTAAATTAAATTTATTTTTAATTTAAATACAAGCAAACAAAAAGAACATTTTCATACATAGCACAACACACAAAAATGATTCTATATAAACCCATGAATTTCCATTTCACAGTATTTACTTTAAAAAACTATATAATAAATACATTGTTTTCAAAGCTAACCTGCTTTTCTGTGCTTCCTTCTAAGTTTTCTTTTCTTTTTTTTTTTTTTGTCTTCCTCCCTACCTTGCTCTAGGGCATGTTACCATTAGACATAAGTATGTATACACACATAAATATACATACGTATACACATACATACTTCTGTTTATCAGTTCTTTCTCTGGGTGTGGATGGCATCTTCCTTCTTGAGTCCTTTGTAAATGGTTTAAGTATTTATAATACTCAAAATGACTTAGCCATTCAAAGCTGTTCTTAGAATAATATTTCTGTTACTGTGTACAGGGGTCTTGGTTCTGCTCCTTTTACTCTTCATTATTTCATACAAATCTTTCCATGTTTTTTTAAACTTAGTTAACTCACTATTCCTCATAGCAAAGTAGTATTCCATATTATTCTTTCCTTAATCCTCATCTCTTGGAACCCCCAGTGTCATTCAAGGCTCACTTCCTATATGATGCTTTTGCGTTCTCCTCCTTCCAGCCTCACTTTATATTGATTTTGTGCTTGAGATACAATGTATTGTAATGGATAGATAGACTGGACTCAAAGTCAGGAAGACTTTGGTTCAAGTCTTGTTTCTGACGTATACTGGCTGTGTGTCCCTAGGGAAGATACTTACCCTCTAGTATCTCAGGAAACTTTATTAGATTATAGGTTGCAGAGCAGTTGAAATGCATTGGTAGAAGGAATTTCATCATCAGAAATTCTCTGCATCAGCGAAATCACAAACCTACTCCCCTACCCCCAATGTTTTTGTACTTAAACATCAGTGTGTGTGTTGCTCCACAACCCACAGTAAGGACCTCCCCCCCCCCCATGTCCTCCCGGGCAGGGACTATTTTTTATTTTTGACCTTGTAGTCTCAGAATCTTGCAATGTCTGGCATGCAATAGGTGTTTGATGAATGTTAGTTGAGTTAAAGCAATATTTGACAATTGATTGTGCATGTGAGGAGAGAGAAGAGCTGAAGATAATACCAAGCTTATTCACATGGAAGGCTGGTAGAATGGTGGAGCCATCAACAGAAAAGAAGTTTGCAAGAGGGGTAAGTAGTGTTGAAAAATTCCATGAGAAGTTTAAGAAGGGAGAGATTATTAACTGTAATTATTTATGAATTTGTCTTATTTTCCTTCTACATGCTGTGGACAGACTCTAGACTAGGAGTGGGGAACTTACAGACTTAAGGGCACCTGTGGCCTCTTAATAAAAGGATTTGTTTTGTAGAACTTGGACTCATTCAAAAGGCCACACCCAAGGACCTACAAGGCCATGCGTGGCCTCAAGGCCACAGGTTCCCCAACCTTGCTCTAGGCTAACAGTATGGAAGACTTGGGTTCAAATGCCACTTCTGATATTTACTAGCTGTGGGATCATCACTATACCACTCTGATCCTCAGTTTTCTCATCTGCAAAATGGGCATAGATAATCCATAGTAGTGACCACATAAGATATTGTGCATAAAGCATCTCACAAAATTAAAAGTATAAGCTAAACATCACATATTATTATAAAAACAGATTTCAGATTTGAAAAAGTCTTTATCAGCCATCCAGTCAAATCTACACCTTAAAAAAAAATCCCCATGTTAATATATGGGGCAAGTAGTTATTAAGCTTTTGCTTAAAAAAACATCCGAGTGGGAAGAAGAGGACAATGTGTTCATCTTTGGCTAGATAGAATTTTTCAGAAGTTGTTTTTTTTTTGGCATAAGGCTTAAAATTTCCTCTTTGTAACTTCTTCCCAACACTCCTAGTGGATATGGTGTAATTTCTTGTTTCATTAAAGGAAAAGTGTTTAGTATCTGTTACTCTCAGTTTCATGAAATTGAAGACCTGAGTCTTATCTCCCCTGGGACCTATGGGAGCTAGTACTCTGTCATCCAGGTCAGGCGAACCGCTGTCAGAAGGCAGGCTTTGATGTGGGTTGCTTTAACTTCTCATCATCTAGGCCTCTGCCTCTCTCTTTCAGCCTCCTAGGGCTACGACAGAATTCCTCTTCCTTAAAGAATGAATGGGCCCTGATGATTCTGCTTTTATTTCAATATTCTCCAAGAGATAAAACAATAAATATAATGCATCAGCTATTATTGGGATGACACGCACATATTACAAAGTAAAAACCCTTTACTAAACAAATTTCCCCCCAGACAAACCGGGTACCAAGATTCCATTTAAAATGGTTATACTGCATGACATAGTTATTTATGAGTTCTGCCTTTGGGAGAAAACAGTGAGAAAGAAGAGAGACACTGTTCAGTGGTCAGGTGTGACAGGGCCAGCCTGCTGGACTTAGTTCTTAGTTCTGCAACATTGAATTTCCCTCTAAGCCATGCAATGAGGGCCCATTGAAGGGCACCATGTATGTATTCAATCAAAGGTGCTCTGGTTACACCAGCTATTTCTCGTCTGTTTTGTAGCCAGGTTATATTACTTTCTTGGCCACTTCTGGCAAAGTTAATAATGATAGTTGTTCTGCCTCAAAGAGCATTGACTTCTCCCAGTGTTGCCTAAATGAAGTGAAGGTTAATATTGTTTCTCTCTGTCTCACTCCCTTATCTCTCTCTCTGATTTTATCTCTTTTCTTATGCCTGTCTCCTCTCTTTGTCTTTCTGACTCTCTCTGTGTCTGTATCTCTGCCTTTTTCTGTCTCTTTTCTTAGAGGAAGGTGCATTCTAAATTTCTATTAAGAAACTTTTCCTATTGTGGAGAACATCCTACCTTGGAGGATTTTCCTTTCTGGGAATGGCTTCTTTGTTTGCGCTCTCTCTCCCTCTCCCTCTCTCTCTCTCTCTCTCTCTCTCTCTCTCTCTCTCTCTCTCTCTCTCTCTCTCAGTTATAGCTAGAATGGGCATCTCCTTACACTAGCATCAACTCTTTTCCCAATTCAGAATTCTATTCCCCATATTCAACATTCCATGTCCCAGACCGTGTCTTTGTATAGGGTATCTCTCATACCTGGAACATACTTTTTCCTCATTTCTACCTCTTAGAATCCTTAGCTTCATTCAAGGCTCAGCTCAGGTTAGTTTTTCTCTCCCACTTCAAATTGTATTGTATTTGCTCCTCTGTATAAATGGTGTACCTACCCCAATAAAATGGAAGCTCAAAAACAGACTCCTTTTGTAAAAAATCTGTGGTTGTAACTCGGGAGCTTAACATGCCTTGAATGTAGTACCTGTTTAATAAGTGTTTGCTGAATGGAATGGAGATTGAGGAGACCTTCAACCCATTTCCGTTTTCTTACTTGAATAGGTAAAATGTGGGTGGCTAATATGAAACCTGGCCTACTTCTACATCAATCAACTGCTTTAAGGATAAATGAGACAACAGAAAAAAATGCCAGCTTATGGGAAGGAGGGTACATTTAATGAGTTTTATGATAGACCTCATCCAAGGGTTTCAAGCATTCAGTCAACACCAGTCTTCACAAGGTTGGGTTGGGCCCTCTTTTTAATTATGATAATTATTTTTGTTTCTATCTTGTGATTTCATCAGTGTGATGAACTCTCTGCTGAGGAAAGTCCCTCTACTATTGCAGATCAACAATGGGTCTACAACCTATTCTTAGAAAGCTGCCCAGGGCAGAGAGAAGTGATTTTTCCCAAATCCAGCATCTATCAGAGATGGGACATGAACTCAGTCTCTCCCAGTTTGGCTTATGGTATGCTGGCTCTAGAATCAGAAGACCTGGGTTGAAATCTAATCTCTGATTTATATTACTTATGTTGAACGCATGCAAGTTAATTAGCTTTTCTGATCCTCTATTTCCTCATCTGTAAAATAAAGTGGTTGGAGGGACTGATTGGACTCCAATGTGTTTTCCAGTTCTATGACCACAATCTCTATTAAATAAACCAGCGTCTTTTGTTTATTTGTAGAGTCTCTGTATTTCACCCAGGTTGGCAGTACAGTGGCCACTCACAGGACCAATCATACTACTGATCAGTACGGGACTTCCTCTGTTTCTGACCTGGGCTGCTTTGTCCAGCCTAATGGCTCCCTCTTCTTGGGAATTCACCGTACTGATGTTAGACAGTGTGGAAACTACTTGACTGAGCCCACTGAAGCTCAGAACTCCCGAGGTCAAGCAATCTAGTAGCTTCAGTTTCACTGGCAGCAGGGATTATAGATATTTACCATGGCACCCATAAGCCAAGTATTCATAAATAGGGTCTGTGCATGGGTTTTAGAAGGTCTGGGAAACTGGATTAAAAAAAATGTTATATATTTATTCTAAAATAATTAGTTTCCTTTTTTCCTATTACTTTGTACATATAAAAACATGGGCATTTAGCACAGTGCCTGGCACATAGGAGGTGCTTAATGAATTTTTATTGATTGCTATTCTGAAGAATCTATAGGTTTCATCAGACTACCAAATGGGTCCATGACAAAAAGTTAAGAACCCTTGCACAAAACCTTGCTACCTCTTACTTTAATTCTTTAAGTATTATAATTTCATCACTGCAAATAGGTGCTCTCTCAATGCAGATGACAATTCCTCTGTCTCCTAACATATAGTCTTCCAGAGTTATTATGGGCATAAAATATATCTTCCTGCAGTCATTCTAATGATATGATTTTCTCAAGTTAGTTTTCGGACAAGAGACACCCCTGGACCTACATGTGAAGCTTCGTCAGTTTGGTAGGGCTTATCAGAACTTCCACTTATACTGGCCTAATCTTGTGGAACCAAGGGACCTTATGAGAGGATGAGGGCAACCCAAGGTAAGTAGGAGCAAAAGTCATACAGAGCTTTTGGCTGACAGACAAGTTGGACTTGGCTTTACCCTATGCATAGGGTACTACAGTGACCCTTGACTGTCAGGGTATAAGGGAAGCTCCCTGGAACTCTTTAATGAGAAATTGCAAACAGCAGCCTCATTCAGTGCAGGACTTGGAAGTTCTGGGATTAAGTTTAGTGTGGAGGCCACCAGCAGGCTTCGTCTTGCTACCTATATCTGTATTTCAAGTGTACCTGTGGACATAGCAACAGACTCTAATTAGGTACATTGGGAAAAATGCTGCAGGTAAGATCACCTCTGCCACTTACTCCCTCTATGACCTTGGGCAAGCTATTCGGACTCTCTAGGCCTCAAATTTCTCATCTGTAAAATGAGAGATGACCTTTCAAGTTCCTTCCAGCTCTAAATCTATTTTGCCATAATCCTAGGAACACATAGGTGTATATTGCCCACTAGGTGGCAATATTGCATTTGCAAAAGGAAAAATATGGATTTTTTTTTTTTCCCCCTCATGGGGTGTGAGTTTGAAGGGAGGTGTGCAAACTAAGGAAAAAAGGATTGTGATCATGCAACCATAGTTCCCTTAACACACACACATGTATACACACACACACACACACACACACACACACACGCATACACATACACACACTCTTACCCTTTTCAGAAACAAAAGTTCCAAACAATGGACTGGGAATCACTTGGTCTTGTTCTATATTGTTCAGTTGTGTCTGACTTCTTGTTAACCCATTTTGGGGTTTTCTTGGTAAAGATCCTGGAGTGGTTTGCCATTTCCTTCTCTAGCTCATTTTACAGATCACAGTTAGTGTCTGTGGCCACATTTGAGCTCATGAAATGAGCCTCCCTGACTCTGAGCCCAGCATACTATCTACCTAGCTGCATGTTCTTCTATTAATGAGCTAGCTCTGTGATCCTGAATGAATTATAAATTTTAGACCTCCCTGGTTATCATTCTACATGACATAATAACATATAACCATAACACACAGACATAAGACTTTCAAGTTTGCAAAACATTTTCCTCACAACGCCTTTTTGAGATAGTGCAAGTTCCATTTTACCCCATTTTCCAGGTGAAGAAACTGACGCTAAGAGAACTAAGTGACTTTTCCACCATTCTATGGCTAATAAACATCAGAACCAGTCAGAATGCCAGAATGAATGTTCAATCCCTGGCTCCTGATTCTAAGTCTTATGTTCTGTCCATTCTTCTTCACAATAAAGGGGTTGGTCCGAGTTCAGTTGTTCCCAAGCTCTCAAATCTGGCCTGGTAATAGTGGACAAAGCATTGTCTCTAGGTCAGAGGACCTAGGTCCAAATGTACCTTCACCACTTACTATCTGTACAGCCTTGGGCGAGTCACTTTCCACTTAACATCTAACATTTATGTAGCACTTTAAGGTTTACGAAGAGCTTTTTATAAATATTTCATTTTATCCTCACAACAACATTGCGAAGTAGGTGCTATTATTATCCCCATTTTACAGATGAGACTGAGACAGATAGAGGTTAAGTGGTTTGCACAGGGTCACACACAGCTGGTAATTGTCTGAAGCTGGCTTTGATTTGGTCTTCCAGACTCCAAGACCAGTGCTCTATCCATGGTGTCAACTAGCTCCCTCTAAGAATATCAGGAGGTGAGTCAAAAGCTACAGATATCACAACATTCCCTGGAGTTGGACCAGCATAATGAGCCATAGTAACAGAAGTGGTCCATAGAAAAGCAAATATGCTGGCACTAGAAGAGAGTCAATTAGGTTTGGACTAAGCATAGGTATAGCAATCACCCCCCTATTGTATTTGTCATCTACCTATGGCCATGTCATTTCATCTGCCTGTGACTCAGTTTCTTCATCTAAAGTTTAGGGCTAATAATACTTACACTTCCTAACTCAGAAGCTTCTTGAAGAGAAAGTACTTTATAAATACAAGCCATTCGTTATTATTGTTATTGCCATCATTATTAATAATAATATTGAATAGTTATTAAATCAATAAGGTATTATATATTTAATAATGATGACTACTACTAATTAAATCATGGTGAATCTTGACTGTAGGAGAAGGAATGGTAAAGGAATATGCTTCTTCTACACTAATTGGACTTAATGAAGTCATCAGACAAAGGATCTAAAATAAGCCTACTGTTTACACTGGTCTTAACACACACCAATCTACATTTTGTTAACTCCCATGTGCTTCCCACCAATGCTTTGAGATCACACAAACCTTAAAAAAAAAATCAACTTGCTGTATTAATTGTAGCCTCCTCTATCCCCCACCAAAACAGGACAACAACATTTAGAAACTGACTTATGGTCAGGGGAGCTCACACCCCCTTCTATTAATAGCCTAAGATTCCAATTCTGATTGTTGGATTTAACTGGAAAGATCAAAAATGTATGTGGGGACAAGCCATTGAAAGTTCTTCAGAACAACCGGTTTGGCCATATCCAAGCCAGGGCAACCTGAGGTAGGACTTGTTAATGCTGATATATGATGAGATGTGTTATGGAAGAATTTCTTAGTCTTTTGGGAGTCATGAACCACTTTGACAGTCTGGTGAAGTCTATGGTCCTTTTTTGAGGAAAAAATGGTTTTTGAAATGCATAAAATAAAATTTATAGACTTAAAAGGAAATATTAAAATAAAGTTATTAAAATATTTCTAAAACAAGTTCGTGGACAACAAGTTAAGAACCTCTGCTTTATGGACACCAATGTGGAAAGAGATAGAATATGTAACTAGTCATTAACTGATGGAGAAAGCTAAGCCAAGCTACCAGACCAACCATAAGATTGGTGATCCTATACCACACAGTAGATCTAGCTCTGTCCACACAGAAAAACTGAGAGGTCATACCTGGTGTTCAACCTAAAGAAAAGAAGGAAAAAGGCAGGTTTTAGTTTCAGTGTAGGTTCTTTTTTTTTTCTTTTGTATGATTCTCAAAGAGATCAGAGCCCCTAGGTTCTTTCATTTCCTTCCTGACTTCCCAACCAGCCAGTCATATAGCCCTTTGTCTTGAGCACTGAAATGGCAGAAGGTTATAGGATTATACAACACTGAGCTGGAAAGGACCTTACAGATAATCTCAGCTAACCTCCTCATTTTATAGATGAGAAACTGTAAACCAGTTCCTCCTCACCCTCCAAAGCCTATTACAAACAGCATTCCCTAAAATTTAAACACATTTTTCAAGCACTTGGTTAACCTAAGTCATTTGTCTTGACCATGGTCACATTTTGTAATAAGTAGCTGAGGCCAGGATTTGAAATCAGAACTTCTGATTACCTGTGCAGTGTTCATGTTTTCCTAAGCTCTTTGAGTGTGTACATATATACATGGGTGGGCCATTCTCCCTCCTATTCTCGAGGAATTCAGCACCTTATTTACAGTCTCACTCTCTGCTTTAACCTGCATCCCTATGTTTAGTGACTTTACTTTGTACATCCTCTAATACACCCTGGCTGCCCAGGTCATTAGCTATTTCAGTTCCCATGACTTGTATCTTAATTCCACCTCAGTCACATACATGGATGATTATAACCTTTGGCCTTGCCATTCCACATAAGTGTATAACTGTTCTAGCTCTCTGATAGATAACTGAAATTCATTTCTTCAATAGCAATCTCATAGCCTACCACTTGTCCCTGAGACTCAATCATCCACCATCACTGGGAATACCCTTCCTCCCTTTCTTCCCCCTTATCTCTTCACAATTCCTCTCCACATTCCCAGAGCTGGTCTGGGAAAGCCAGTGAGTCAGGAGGAAGACCCATTATTATTGGAAACACCTTGTCTCTTCATCCCTTCCTTTGGCCAGAGCCATTCAGAAAGCATTCAGGCTGCTTAATTACTCACATGGTATGCATGAGATGAGAGTCATCAACTCTATTCTTTGTGTACTTGTCCATTTGGTACTTGTCCAAACCTTCCCTTTTCTCCTCAAGTCTTTAATACCCATCTTCCCTCTCAGTATAAGACCTTATCTCATACTTTACTTAGAAAATAGAGGCTATCTGGTATGAGCATCTTTCTGTCTTTTTTCTCTCCCTCAAAATGCCTTGAACCTTTCCCTATTCTCTCTTCCTTTTTTCTAGTGTCTGATGAAGAGGTGGCCTTCTCCCCAATACCGGCCTTCCTACTGGGTTCTTGATCCCATTTACTGTTGGTTCCTCCACAAGTTTGCCTTATCAGGCATCCTTAATCTCTGTCTAATCTATAACCCCTCTCAATTTCTCTGCTGTCTATAAACATACTCAAAAGTCCCTCATTCTCTAAAAACAAAGCCCAAACTTTCACTTGATCTTATCATCCTCTCAAGCTATCACCTAGGGAGCTGGGTAGTGGAGTGCATAGAGGTCTGAGCATGAAATCATGAAGATGAGTTGAAATCCAGCCACTTACTAGCTGTGTGGCCCTGGGCAAGTCACTCAGCTACTGACTGCTTCAGTTTCCTCAGTGTAAAGTGGGGATGATAATAACACCTAAGACTTGGAGATGTACTATAGCAAATCGCAAGGAAAGAAATATAGCCAAATGGTGGTGAGATTCAAGAGTAAAGAAAATATGAAGGTTGAGTTATCTTTGATTGGCAAAATATATTCGTCTAGAGCCTGATCAAGAGGGCTATAAACTGAATAGGAAGGAGGAGGGAGAAAATTGTCCTCAAATATGTATGTCAAGCTAGAGAGGAGTAAAAGGCACAATGCAGAAAGAATGCTAGTAGAAAAGATCAATGCATTAAAAGTAGGAATTGGACAAGATGACTTTGGAGGTTCTATCTATATTTCAACCAATCAATCAATAAACATTTTTAAGCGCTTAAAATTTGCCAGGCACTATGCTTAGTACTGAGGACACTAAAAGAGGCAAAAGACAGTCCCTGTCAAATTTATAATCCTGTGAATTTACAGGAGGAATAGCTAAGAAGAGAATTAGTAATAAAACCCATAGCCGTAGGTGTTAAAAATGCAAGTGCACAAAATATGGGTAAGATGTTGAACTTTTGCTGTTGTTGAATCATTTCAGTCATGTCTTACTCTCCATGACCCGTTTGGGATGTTTTTTTGTTTTTGCAAAGATACTGGAGTGGTTTGCCATTTCCTTCTCTAGCTTATTTTATAGATGAGGAAACTGATTCAAAGAGGGTTAAGTGATTTGTCCAGGGTCACACAGCTAGTAAGTGTCTGAGGCTGCGTTTGAACTCATGAAGATGAGTCTTCTTGATTCTGGCACTGTGACACATATGTGCCCAAACACAAGGCTAGTTTGAGGGACAGAGTGAAGACATGAATAGCATACTGAGATATTTAGATGACCAGAAGCTGGGACCTTTTTTGTATCCTGGAGGGAAAAACTGGGTAAGATAAAATTCTGTGTGGATTCATGCAACATAGCTCCTAATTGTATTTAGGAAGTCACCTTCACATGCACAACATGGAGAGTCATGGCTAACTACATAAAAAGGAAATGGGTATTCAAGCAGATTACAAGTTCAATGTATGTCAACAATATGACAAGGTAGAAAAAAAAGCTGAGGTAATCTTTTAGGGCATTGAGAGGCATCATGTCAACAATGAGCAAGATCCTTGTTTCTGTTGTACTTTTCCTTGATCAGAACACATTAAGAATATTGTGTTCAGTTCTGGACACTATATTTTAGGATGGACATTCACTAACTGGAAAGTGAGGTCTGGTGAGAGTGATAAGGGAACTTGGGACCATCTTTTTGTGACCTTAGATAAGTCATTGTTCTTCTCTAGGGCTCAGTATTCACATCTGTAAAATGAGAGGAGTGGAGGATGGACTAGGTGACTCCTACTAGCTTTACAATCAGAATCTTCAAATCCTTTGGACTAGGGATGTTTACCCTGGAAGAAAGAAGACTCAAGGATGAAATGATACCCATTTTTTCTCCTGGGTTTCAGTTTTTTATTTGTGAAAACAAGGTTGTAAGGGATATGACTTCCTGGAGAGAGAAGCAGAATTCCTGAGCAGTGCACTTTCTGGAGGGTGATTGCCCACATGGCATCTATTTATGGACTTATTCAATTCTCTGGACCTTCTGCATTTTGGGGGGCTGTCTGCTATCCAGTATGTGGAGAACCTCATTAGGACCAGAACTTAAATTACTATCTGGTCTTTCCATCTTCCATGAACTGAGCATAAGTCCTCCTCTACGATTGATCTCTCCCATTAGAATTTGAGCTTTTTGAAGGCAAGGACTTTTTCTATTTCCTATTTGTTTCCCCAGTGCTTAGCACGATGTTAGGTATATCATAAACAGCTAATGCTTTTCCATTTCATTCTATATCTCTAATGTCTCTCCCAGCTCTAACATTCTATGGTTCTATGATTCTTTGTTCAGGAATTCAGAAAATGTTCGGAAAGGTAAATCAGAGGCCTAGGATTTGGCCTGTGAAGTTACATTTGTTTTCGTGACTACTCAATGGGACAGTGAAATGCTTGGAAACTATGAGCCAAAAATGTAACCCCATCTATACCTTGTATACTTTAAAAAGTAGCATCATCTTTCTACTCTGGTTAGGCTGGATGTTGATGGAGACTACCACGTTGATACCTTCCATGGGCTCTGTCACAGAGAAAAAGTACTGAAGCGCGTACCAGAGGGCATCTAGACAAAAGAGAGCAATACACAGTCAGCCCTTGACCTTGCTACCCCAACTCCTGCTCACTGGACCAATGAGCTCATTGTGGAAGGAACATATACTGCATTAGATTAATCACTCTGTCTACTATGTTCGTGTGTATTTGCACGTGTGTGTGTGTGTGTGGGGGCACATAGGCAGGAAACATTCAGAATCTGGTAAGTAATGACCCTGAAACAGCAAGCTCCCCTGATAGAGACAATGGGAAATAGGTGTTGTACTTGTGGCTGGCATTAACGTTTTACTCAAAAGTAATCACCAGAAAATTGAAATGGGCATAAATTCAGTGAATACTAATGTAAATGCAGAGGATAGTGGGAATAAGATAAAGATGTATTTCCAGCAGAAAAGGGATATACTAACTGGAAAAGCAACATTATACAACATAAACATTAATGGATTTTGGATCAGAAGATCTTGATCCAAATTCTAGCCCTGTCACTTGACACCTGTGTGACCCTGAGCAAATCACAAACCTCTTTGGGTCTTGATTTCCTAACTTGCAAAAAGAAGGGGTTGGGTTAGATGGCCTCAGAGATGCCTTCTGCTTGCAAATCTGTCACCTGTAATAGGAATCTGGAAGTCTGTATTACTATTTAGACCTTAGGAATGAGATCCCAAGGCAACATCAGGACAGAATATGCTCAGGAGAGCCTTCCTACGTGTTGCCTTCTATGGCCATTCCATATTTAGACAGGTGTAACTTTTGTTCTCTTGTGTAATTGGTTGGCATTCTAGCTCACCAATCAGGTTCCAGTAAGCTATAAGACTGTCATATTCTGCCATATTATGATGGTTGGTCCTTGGATTTTCAGATGACAGGATTCCTAGAACTAGGTGGCATAGTGGATAGAGCACTAGGCTTGAAGTCAAGGAGACGAGTTGAAATCTGGCCTCAGATATTCACTAGCTATGTGATCATAGACAAGTCATTTAACCTGTTTGCCTCAGTTTCCTTGATGGGAAAATGGGGATAATAGCATCTACCTTCCGGTGTTGTTGTGATGATAATATTTATAAAGCGCTTAATACAGTGTCTGGCACATAGCAGGCAATATCTAAATACTGGCCATTATAATTATTAGCTAAAATTTTGAGGGTCCAGACTCCAAAGTAAAGGGGGGAACGTGTTTTGACAGGGCATCATCCAACCAGACCATCTCTGAATAAAACTTATGTATATATAACCGCCATCTTTTTTTTTTTTGTTCACAGTAGCTGTTGTACAACTTTTCAGGCCAGCACAGATCTTTTTATTTAATTTCAAGTCATTCTTCTTGAAGTCAATAAATAGTCAATTTAAAGATAGCCTGTAACCCTCCCTGTTCTCAGTCTAGTCAAATACTTACCAGAGCTACTATCTTTCATAATATTTCCTTGGATCTTTTGGACTTCATATGGAATTTGGAACCATGTTCCATTGTCCAGTTCTCCATTGTTCATTACCATCAGATATTGATAACAAATAAGCATGCTGGCAAATAACTTCTGGAAATCTTGAAGGGACATCCTGTGAAAAACAAATGTACATGGTAAAATAAGCGTATGACTGATATCTGAAATACTGGCTGTGTTTCCTTGGGGAAGTCATTTTCCACTTGAAAATAACAATGGAGCCCAGAATATCTGTACTGGAAATGACCATAAAGCTGGGAAGAGTCCCTGAAAGAGTCCCCTGCCTAAAGGACCTGGTTTGGCAACAACCAGGATGTTTGTGGCTTAGCTATCCTTGTGTGACCAATAAAATCAGTCTGGGGGCCCAGAAATGGAATGCAGATATTTTCCATAGTCACTGTAAGTGATCTACTATTCTCTTAGGCTGACTTTGTCTCCTAGGTACGAGTATGTACCTGGTGGCTTGAAATACAGAAACCACTGAACAATAGACTTGGAATCAGAAAGAGCAGACATTCAAATCCTGGGGTGGACACTTATTGACCTTGTGAACCTTGAGTGAGGTACTTAACTTCTCTCACTTAACTCAGTTTTCTGCTCTGTAAAATGGGCTTAATCATTAGCACTGACCCCACAGATTTATTGTGAACACAAGTTAGGCAATTAACTTCTCTCATATTCAGGTTCCTAATCTGGAAATAGGTATGATAATAGCCCCTGTCTTACAAGGTTGTTGTGAAGATTAAATGAGCTATCTTTGCAGACCTTGAAAAGCTGTATAAACATCAGCTCTTGTTGTTATTATTACCCGCCCCCCCATCCCCTCCCAGTGGAATGTAATCAGATGGAAGCAGTCTTCTTGGTTCTGGTACACCAAAAAGAGGTGTACTTCTACGTGTTATGGCTCAGTGTGAGCAGCTGAACCCCTGGGGGCCATCAGGAGACTCAGCAGGACAGACAACTGCTGATGACTGGCACCATTTGTTAAGTATTGAAAATCAAATTGTCTAGGGACATTCATGAATTGGAGTGTGTCAAGGAGGAAGTCAGCCAGCTCCCTGAGAAGCTCTTGAAATCATGTGATGATAGGAGGAAAAGTTGGAGGAAGGAAGAATATTTAATCCTGATGAAGTCTTCCAGTAAAGATAGAAATCTCTGAATATTAGAGGGCTGGCAAGTGGAAGCAGGATTTGCTCTGTGTGATTCCAGGAAGGACTTGTATCCTGTAGAAGATACAGGAAAGACAGAAAAAGGAAAACTGTTTTCACAAGTAGAACTGTGCAAGATACAATGTTACTTTTTAAAAAAATGTTATTAATGCATGGTAGTAGATAGGGCACCTGACTTGAAATCAGGAAGACCAGAATTGAAATCCCTCTTGAGATGCTTACTGACAGTGTGGCCTTGTGTAAGCCATTTAACCTCTGTTTGCCTCAGTTTCTTCATCTATAGAATGGCAATTACTAGCATTTGTATAACACTTTAAGGTTTCCTTATTGGCAAAATGAGGGAGTTGCATTAGGTCCTTTTTAGCTCTAAATTACTACTATTTAGAGTCTTTTATTTTTGTGAATATCCCTTCCCCCAAAGAACCTCCCCTCATACCTCTTTGTTGGCTCAGCCTTTTGTTTCAATTTAATTTTTCAGCTCCTTATTGACTGAATTCGTGTGGATGCTGCCCATGGAGGGCCTTTTGATTCTGCTTTAGAATCTTAGCAGTCCCATACACCCAAATGGAGGTAAACTATTTTTGGTTATATTTGACAAATCTAATGTTGTAGAACATTCATCAACCTTTACTATTGCTTGATGAAGTCATGTCTGCTTATTTCAAAAATAATTCTGTAAGATTTTGACCCATTTATCATGTACTTTGATAATGTCTATCAATTTTCTTCATCCTATGTGACAAGGAAATGTTAATTTTTCTATAATTGCCTTAGGCTGATGGGGTTCTGAATTCCATAGATATTATATGAGTTTTTGTTATGATAATTTTTAAATTTTATAATTTCTTTTTTGAAAATTTATTTTATTTTTAAATTATGGAATAAAATAAGCACTTCCACAACAGAGTATGATAAAAAAGGTTATTATATATGAAACTTTATTATACATTAAATTTTGTAATTCCAAAGCACACAGTAAGATTGTGGTCTGGGAATATGTTATTTTTCGACACTGATTCCTCAGTGTCCAGAACAGTATCTTTCATGCAACCCAATTATAATTGTTTGTTTTTGAATGTCATAAATAGAATGCCAAGCTTATTGTGGACACTGGGCGTGTGCCCAGTTTGGCTGTGAGCTGTCTTCTGAACTGCCTTGAAAGATACTGAAACTTGACAGTATGTGTTACTTCCAGGCCCCACGGTGGGTGACACAAAATACACAATTAGCAAAGCTCATCATTGACCCTTCACCTAAGCTCAGGGATAGAGGAAGAGGGTTTCAACTTAAGCTAAATTTTCAAAAAGTACTTGTATAAAAGAAAAATACCAAAACTCTCCATCTTCTTTCTTCTTATAAAGCCTGGTCCTCTCTGATTCTTGGACTCTCCGCCATTCTGGGGAACTATGAGGGAGAGAGAGAGAGAGAGAGAGAGAGAGAGAGAGAGAGAGAGAGAGAGAGAGAGAGAGAGAGAGGGAGGGAGGGAGGGAGAGGGAGGGAGAGAGAGAGAGAGAGAGAGAGGAGAGAGAGAGGAGAGAGGAGAGGAGAGAGGGAGAGAGAGAGAGAGAGAGAGAGAGAGAGAGAGAGAGAGAGAGAGAAAGAGAGAGAGGGAGAGAGGGAAGGAGGGAGGGAGGGAGAGAGGGAAGGAGGGAGGGAGGGAGGGAGGAGAGAGAGAGAGAGAGAGAGAGAGAGAGAGAGAGAGAGAGAGGGAGGGAGAGAGGGAGGGGGAGACAGAGAGAGTTCAATCATACTCTGGGGATTAAGATTATAATCATGGTCTAGGAAAATTTAATAACAACAGCAATAGCAAACATTTATATCACACCTGCAGGTAGCTAAGTGGTACAGTGGATAGAGCATCAACCTAGAGTCAGGAAGTCCTGAATTCAAATCACACTAGCTGTGTGACCCTGGGCAAGTCACTTAACCCTGCTTACCTCAGTTTTCTCATCTGTAAAATGAGCTGGAGAAGGAAATGGCAAACCACTGCAGTATTTTTGCCAAGAAAACCCCCGAAGGGGTCACAGAGAGTTGGACACGACAAGAAAATTGACTGAACAACAACAAAATATTGCACCTACTATATAGCCATTACTATGCTAAGAACTTTACAAATAGCATCTCTCGCTATCTTCTGGTCTACTCCTGAAGCTGTTCTGCACATACTCCTGCCATGAACGAATAGACACAAGGAAATTAATTTTCTTAGCATACCACAGAAAAGTGAATGAATGAATGATCTTAGATTGAGATGCTACTGGTACTCAGCTGAAATGGGGGTGGCAAGAGAAAAGAATGTCAGCTCCTCCATATTTCCCACAGTAATCTGATGATTTTTTCCCCATCAGTTTGGCCCCAGTAAAAAGTAGTCGTATCCTGATGCTTGACCCTTTAGTTTTTTAATATAATTTATTTTATTTTTAATTCACATAACAAAACAAGCATTTCTACAACAGTACAATAAAAAAGATGATTATACATGAAACTACAAATCTACCATGTACAACTTGCTATTCCCTCCAAATATACAACAAAGTTATCACATAAATATTTTTTTTTCTTTCCTCCTTCTCCCCACACTGTAGAGATGGCTTCCATTAGATACAAATAGGTAAAATATATATATATGTATGTATGCATGTATGTATGTATGTATGTATGTATATGTAAAATTAATCTATACATACTTCTGTTTATCCCTTCTTTCTCTGGATGCAAATGATTAGGGCTGAATTATGTATGACCCTTTAATTTTAACCTTTCTCTGAGGCGTTGGGGAGTAAGGATGCTGCTGTTAACAAAACAATTCTCAGCTGTTGATCCTGCTGCTACCATCAGGTGCGATACTAGTCTTACTCTCTTCTCCCCTTTTATAATTTTTCCTTTCTTTTCCTGCACTCTTGGACCCTGTCCTACAGTCACGCAACATTCCTTTGTCCCAAGAGATGAGTGAATATTCCAAATCCCAATTCTCTATGTGGGTCCAGGTTACTCCTTCTTCCCTCTTCCTCCAGAGGCATTATAATTACAATGGAGGTATGGATATTGGAAAATAACTGTAGTATATCAAACAAAAGGCATCAATAAACCTTTTTAAAAAATAGCTGTGTGTAATTGGATTAGGGAGTAAATTGAGAAATCCCATTCAGCTATAGATTTGATTATGTGGCTGCAAAGGTTCATTCTAACTCTAAAGTTCTGTGATTCTGTAATTCTCTTTACTACCTCTTTCTCTGCTCTGTTCCCCATGCTTGATGACATTGACATTGTGGTCCCCTCAAACCTACATGGGAGCAGAGGGGTCAGAGGTTACAGTCATAGAATACTAAAATGTTCGAAATAGGACTTTAGGGTATTGGCCCCATTTTACAGACAGTGAAACCGACACTAAGGAGATGGAAATGACTTGCCCGTTGATCACTCAGAATGTTGGAGTGACAGAAGCCAACCTAGTTCCATGGTTGTGTGCTTTCCATGCTTGCTTCAGAGCTGTGTGTGCTAGCCTCCTACTGATCTGTAGTGGGGGGATAAGCCCTCCAAACTCATAGGTTCTGCTCCCTCTACTCAAATTTAGTCTGGCCAATAAGTCTTCCACTAAAAGTTGAATAAAATGTACGAAGTGTTAAGACTAGGGTCTAATTAAGCTCATTCTCAGGGCAGGGCTGGCTTTGGTGCTGGCCACCCACTGAGTGTGAGGGAGCCCTGTCATTTCTGCACTTGGGGGAATGATCATCTCTTGATTTTTCTGCAACATACTGATACAGTAGGATGCTTGATTTTAAAATGGAAATTTTATAATTAAGTGATAATTGCATTTTCTTCAAGTAAGAAAAAATAAATGTAGTGTAAATCAATAAGGCATTGATTCTGGCAAGCTTACCTCTAAGTGGGTGCAACTGTGATGTCAATTATGGCTGAGATTGGAATACCTAGAGCCGTTGCCCATCCCTTTCTTTCTCCCCCAAATGAGAGGAAATATAGTACCTGAACACAAACAGAAACATAAAGGCTCTTAGGACCTCCTGCACCTTCTACCCAGCCTGCTAAGACACGAATCCTTTCTTAACAGAAAGCTTATGAAGTATGATGCTCTAATGGGCATTAACAACAGAAAGGGCCCACACACCATTGCAAGGTTAATGCTCCTAAAATGTTGATTTGAACATATTCCACTTCCTGTCATGCCCAAACACCCAAAAAAATTATATAAACCATCACTACATCTCCTACTGCCTATAGGATAAAGTCCAAAGTGCTTAGCCTGGCATTCAAAGCCTCCTCATTTTGGACCCTGATCAGAATTTGGAGTCAGAGAATCTGCTTTCAGTCCCCAGCTCTGTCACTGCCTTTGTGACACTGGACACTTCACCATCCATCCTGAGCCTCAGTTGCCTAAACTATAAGATGGGAGGAGAGGAAGGTTGGGCATAATGAACTCTAATGTCCCTTCCACTTCTAGATCTGTGACCAGAAAACAGTAATACATACGGCCAGAGGAATGTAGAAATTTACCTAGCTATGTTGGCACCGGACATGGAGTAGGAAAGATCTGAGTCCATATCAGGCCTCAGACACATAGCTGTGTGACCACTTAATCTCTCTGAGTTCCCTCATCTGAAAAATAAGGATAATAATAGCACTCACTTCCTGGGGTTGTTGTGAGGATAAAATGAGATAATATATGTAAAGCTCTTTGTAAACCTTAAATCACTATGTAAATATTAGTTATTAGCTGCTGCTATTATTATTATTAGTACCATATAGTAAAGGCAGAGATGGTAGTAGAAGCTACTTCCCCTACTTGTCAAACAAATGATTCCTTCTGAGAATTACATTTCCCCAAACCCTATTGAGCCTACTTACTCCTCTTTCCTCTCCCTAATTCTTAAATTTTTAAAAAAGGCCAGTATAATAAAAATTATAATAATACCTAATTTAATACACAAAATGTCATATCATTCAAATTTACTTTATAGAACAAGATAAAATAGAAAAATAACATCTATCTGTAGGAATAAATGAATAAGGATCTCGAGGAGAAAAAGATAGAAATAAAAAGAATTCAGCATTGTCAGGTCTTAAATTATGTTTTAAAGTAGTAATCATCAAAACAATTTGGCACTGGTTAAAAAATAGAAGAGCTGATAATAGAACAGACTAGGTAATCAAGACCCCAAAACAATCAAAGAATATACTCAAAGACACAAATTATTAGAACAAGGACACGATTTATAGGATCAGAGTCAATAAAAACTGAAAAAACTAGAGAGAAGTTTGGCAGAAAATAAGCTTTGGCAATCATCTGATATCACAAACTGAAATGAGGTCCACATGGATAAGTGGCTACAGTGCTAAAAGTTACATTGTTTTTAAAAATTAGAAGGCAACAATAATAAATAATAACCCGCATTCAAATAGCACCTCCAGTCTGTCAGGCAAGGTGCTAAGTGCTTTACAAACATTATCTTATTTGATCCTCACAGGAATCATCAGATATAGGTGCTATTATTATACTGATTTTGCAGTTATGGAAATGGAGGTAGACAGAGGTTAAGTGACTTGTTCAAGGTCACATAGCCAGTAGCTGTCTGAGGTTGGATTTGAACTCTGGTTTTTCTAACTCCTGGCCCAGCTCTCTATCCACTGCAGAAAAGTGAGGATATATGGATATATGAATAGAGGGAAAATTCTTAAACTAATGGTAAAGGCAATGATTATAAAAAAATTAAGAAAAATTTAATTACACAGATTCGAAAGACTTCTAATGGAGAAAGATACCATATAGCTACAGTAAGAGAGTGTTGATTGGGAAAAATCTTTGCTTCAATTGACTGTGATAAAGAGTAGATATCTGAAATATGCTGGGGGATTTAGGTAAATATGAGACCAAGAGTTACTTCCTAAATAGATAAGTAGCCAAAGGACACAAATAGTCAATTTTCAAAAGAAGATTCACTAACAAAAACCAAATAAAAGAATGCTAAGAATAACTAAAAAATAAATAAACAAAAGAAATGCAAATAAAACAACTCTGAGGTTTCACTTCACAAATTGGAAAAAAAAATGACAGATGCCGAAACTGGTACACGTTGGATGGGCTATTGAAAGGTGGGAACACTGATGTACAGCTGGTGGAGTGGTGAATTGGCCCAACTGTTCTGGAAAACAATGTGGAACTACTCTAGGAAAATCATTGAATTGTAACATGCCCATTGACCCAGTATTATCACTAGTGGGCATATTTGAATCCAGAGTGAATCAAATACAGAAATCAGAACAAAAATACAGAATTTATACATGTGTGTGTATATTTATATATACACATACACATGTGTATAAACATGCATGTATATATTGCATGTATACATTTACTTCTGTATATACACATACTTATATACATATGTTTATATTTGTGTATATGCAGGTACACAGATATATGTATATGAATGCCCCTTTATCTCTCTTCATATACATATGTGCTTATGTATATGTATACAAATATACAAATGTGTATATATATGTATATTGCATATATATATATATATGTGTAGATAGATACATGCATGCATGCATGCATGTATACATACATACATATTCACTTCTTCAGGCTCTACACTGGGGATGATTGGAAAATATTTTCCCTTATAGTTTCTTCTGAACTTCATTTGGTTCTTTGATTAATGGAAGTTACTGTTATGTTTGTCCCATAGCACCTCATGTGAGAGTGAGAGTGTGGGTCTGGTAGCAGTCTCACCTCTTTCAAGACCCTTGCCTTGATACATTCAGCCAAAGACAGTTTCAGGGCCATTGTAATATAGAGAGATTACACCTATTCTGCGTAGCTCCTAAGAACAGAATTAGGACTCATGGGTGGAATTTACATAAAAGATTTTGATTTATTGTAAGTGTAGTTCTTGTCTCAAAGTCCATGGGCATGAGTTGCTCTCCTCCTCAGTGGAGATGAAGGCCCTGACCTATGTAAGAGGTGGAGCAGATTTGATGAGAGATAGAGAGCTTTAGTTCTCAGAGTTCACCTCTGGGACTGGTCAAACTTCAAGTTTTCTTTGAGTATCAAGTCAGGTTCTAGCTTTGAGAAAGAAGATGGATGAGGCCAGCCCCACTGCAGGCTACTGAAGGAATTGACTTAGAAAAGACATGAGAAGAGCTGGAAGTCTCCATCATGTCCCCATTGCCAGCTTGCTACCCTAGAGACTTCAGAGAATTTCCCCTTGAGTGAGATCCGGTACCCTTTCTCTCTCTTGACTAGTTTCTATTTCACTCCGTTGGGGAGAGCTCCTTCACTCTGTATTGTCTGATATATATTCTCCTATGTAGACCTTCTCTAATTTCAGGTTTGTTTCAGTTGTATAAATGGGTTTCTTTACTATTCTCTATGTATGTTCATTGTGGAACTGGTATTTGGTAGGAAAGGTGTCAAGCCTTGGAATATAAAGCTTGAGGTCCTCCTCTCCCCTAAAAATGACAAAACAATTAGAAGTTAGATGGAACCAATCATATGCTCTAGACCAGGGGTGGGGAACCTGTGGCCTCAAGGCCACATGTGGTCTGCTAGGTCCTCAATTGCAACCCTTTGGACGAATCCAAACTTCACAGAGCAAATTCCATTAATAAAAGATTTGTTCTGTGAATTTTGGGTTCAGTCAAGGGCCACACTTGAGCACCTAGTGGGCCACGTGTGGCCTTGAGGTAGCAGGTTCCCCACCCTGCCCTAGACTAACAATATTTAAGGGAGCAGATAGATATACTTCTAGCCTGGCACCACTTCTCTCTGAGGAGAGCAGAATGGCATTCAGCCCCAATCTCCTGCTTTCCCTCCTGGCAGGAATGAAATTCTTGTTTGGAGAAGGGTTAGGGATGTTTATTCTTTTTTTTTTTCTAGTTAGAGGCTAGGGATGTTTATTCTCTCTCCCTTTGAGCCACACAACAACAGCTCCCTCACCACATGTGGAGTCCTCATACATGTAGGGACTCACCATTTATCTTTCTACACGAGGAAGAACTTTCTAACAGAGTTGCAGGAAAATAGGATAGAGGACTTCTTGAAACTGATGGTATTTGAGTAAAGACTAGATGATCACTTGTCAGGATGTTATAGAGAATGCTCATCTATTGGGGTAGACAGCTGTTTAATTTTCTTCTGGGTCTTAAGATTTTACGATGCTGTGACCTCCTTAGAACTACCAGCTTGCATGTACTTTCTTATTGCACTTTCATAACTTAAATTATATTGCAGTTACCTCCTAAAGTGTAAGCTTTTTGATGACAAGGACCATGATATTCATCCTTTGGATCCTAACATACATATACTGATCCCATCTTATATGCTCCACAATTACAAGGAGGATTTGTGAGAAAGCACTTTCCCAAGAGGTTTTGGTGCTACACAACTGGTGAAGAAGGTCAATTTAAATGGGAGATGGAGATGAGATTGACCTAGAAAAACTTGTTAACTTAGGAAAAAGACACCCAACATACATCACGCTAGTTCAGTTATAGAACCATAGAATTTTAAGATAGAAAGGAACTTCAGAAGCTATCTGGTCTAACCTGTACCTGGAAAAGAGCCCTCTTAAAACATACCCAAGGGACAATCAAGCCTTTTCTTGAAGACCTTCAAGGAAGAGGAAGCCACCACCTACCAAAGAACCCAATGCTACTTTTGGATAGCTCTAAAAATTAGGAAGGCTCTCCCCAACCCCAAAATCAAGCCTAAATTTGTTTCTTTGGAATTCCCACTCATAGAACTAGACTAATTGCTCTTCTTCATGATAGCCCTTAAATATTTAAAGATAGCTATCATGTCTTTTCCCTTTTTCCATCCCCAGTCTTCTCCAGGATAAGGACTATTTTGTGGATAAGGAAACCGAGGTCCAGACAGGTTAGGTAATGTGTCCAAAATTCCCACTTAGATGCTCATAAGGAATGAACTCAAGAACCTTGACCATCCTTTACTCTCTTCTGGATACTTATCAAAGTTCTTCCTAAAATGGGGTTCCCAGAACAGAACATGATACACATGCCTGATCAGGTGGGGTGCAGTAGTAAATGATCCTAGAAACTCTTTATTTCTTAATATAGCCCAAGAACAGATTAACTAAATTTAGAAGGGCAGGACTGGACTGACTAACCAGTTTCTTTTGGGTCATAAATTCCATTGATCTCTGTCTACAGGGACCTCTGAGCACCAGACCTTTTTCTAGATAAATAACACTTCCTGTGGAATTGTTGTATGTTTCCTTCAGAGGATGGACCTTTTTATTTCCTTTCCTATGAGGCAATATTCTCATGCCAAAGAGAAACAGAGAAAGAGACACACACATACACATACGCACAGAAAAGGAAAAAAAAGAGAAGAGTAGAGGGAAGAGAGAAAAGAAAGAAAAGAGAAAGGAAAGGAGGATAGATGGAAGAGAAGAGAGAAAATAGTGAAAATGGAAGAAGGAGAGAAAAAAGACAGGAGAGTAAATAGAAAGTAAGAAAAAGAGAAAAAGCCTGGGAGAGCATATGTAAGACACATATTCACACTGTCACATATGAAGCTATAGCAAGAGCAAAGCTGTGATGGTTGTAACTTGGGAACATGCTTGATGAGAAAATTTGAATGGGTAATCTTTGGGCAGAGAGAAACATCATGCCTTTTTAAAAGGAAACGCCCTGGAACACCATGGTTTTACCTCCAATGGAAGAAGAAAGGATATATATATATTTTTTAAAAATCTCATACTTATCACTCCAACATTTGGTCCATTCTTGACGGCCCCAGGGGTTCCACAATCGGATGAGTTCTTCTCGGCCAGTGTCCAAAATAACCTATAAGAAAAGAACCAAGAAGTAAAAGAAGAATCGTTAGTAGAAAGATGGGGAATATATCTCCAAGGATTAATTTAACTTCTGACTTCATTTGGCTACAGTCAAATCTTTTTTTTTTTAATGAAGCAAGGGAGGATGGGGGGATAGAAGTCAATATTTCTCTGCTGTGTTGTGCTGCAATGAGGCAGAAGAAAAATTGTGCTCTCCCTCATCTCCTTTCTCTGCTCAACTGAACCTGGAGGGAGCTCTCCCTTGGCAAATGTCAGCTTTCTGATTCAGTACGATTGGTCTTATGGACCTGAAGAAGGTAGAAATTTAATAGCATTGGATGGCAGCTATAGATTCAATGGGCTAGAACTTTAAGAAGCCGTAGTCTCATAAGCAATTTGGTCACAATCTGCAAACTAAGCCTCACAAATTCTCTCCCTTTCTGAGCCAGTCTATACCTTGGGACCTATTTTCTGCTTTCAAATCACTTTGGTCAGGAGGCGGGAGATGGGAAGCAGAAGACCTACTGGAGCCCAGAACCAAGGACCAATATTCCCATATCTCTTCTCAACCCAACTCCTGATTTCAAAAATGGGGATGTTTACTCTGACCAGGATCACAGAATCTCAGAGTTAGAAGGGATCTCAGGAGTCAGTTAGTATAACTCGTATGTGAGTATCTGAATAGTAATTTTCTCTGCAATACATCTGACATGTAATCATCTAGTTTTTCTTGGAGAACAGGGATTTTTAAGAGATGCAGGCATGATGTAATATAATGGAAATCAATCAATTAACAGCAACTGTTAGAGGTCTACTATAGTCCAGGCACTATGACATGGAGTAGGGAATACTAATGCAAAGAATTAAATAATCCCTGCTGTCAGGGAGCTTACATTCTAGCAGATGTTTAACTTGAAATCATGGCTCCTTAGTTGGACTAGATGGCCTGAAAGGTCACTTCTAGCTTGACATCTATGATGCTATGATCTTAATTGATTCCTTGAGTTCAAGATGGATACTTATGACCCTCACTTTAACTCCTTGATGAGGAAATTAATGAAGGAGCCTGGGTCACTTTCTCCTCTCCCTCAGGACCATATTCCCCAACGACTAGTTTTTAATAAGTTAAATAATAGGGAGACACTTTGGTTCTTTCAAATTCTAAATTAATCTTTGGGATGATAGGCCAGTGTAGTTGTTTTTGCTTAATGAAGTGTGTAAACATCCAATCTTCAGAGCATGTTCACTAGTTCCAATCTACATCAAGGCTTGGTGAGTATGCATGCTTCTGGGAAAAGAGTGATGGATGTGCCCTCTTGCCCACTTCAGATCATGTGAAGTTGTTCTCTATTTCCCATAGGCTTACTTTGTGGTGATGAAAATGCTTTTAATTGGCTGCTGAGATAGAACTGAGTATGCATATGAAAGGTTTAATAAATAACCCTCTGTTCTTTTCTCCTCTGATGGCTTTTAAGGAGAAAAAATTGCTCTAAGTCTCCATTTGAGGAGAAAGGCAGTAGTTTTGGTTGCCTTATCTCCCCAGCCAGCCACCATGAGTTTGTGAACAAATGATATTCTTCTTTTTCCATGATTTTAGGTGAATGAGTATCCTGAGATGGAAATGCTCAGGCACACTGTGAGATTAAGAGGTCTAGCAAAGCCAGTTAAGGTCCAACTAACAATTAGATCTCAGAATCAATGGGAGCTGTGTGGTTGAGCTGTTTCAGGGCTCTTGTGACCCCTTTTTGGGGTTTTCTTGGCAAAGATACTAGAATAGTTTGCCATTTTCTTCTCTAGCTCATTTTACAGATGAAGAAACTAAGGCAAGCAGTGTTAAGTGACTTGCCCAAGGACACATAGCTAATGTCTGTGGTCAGATTTGAATTCAGGAAGATGAGTCTTCCTGACTCCAGGACTGGCATTCTATCCATTGTGCCACCAAGCTGCCACAAGTGGGACCTATAATTGAGCCCAGTGAAGAGAATGAGCAGCAGCCCTGGAGAGCAACCTACTGGACCCAGCCTAGTAAGGAGCCAACCCAGCTGAGCAAGGGGGCAACTGATCCACTGGCCATGCCACACTGAGATGTCAACAAGTCAAGGCATTTACTAGGCATCTGCTATGTGCCAGACATTGTGCACACTGGGAATACAAATGCAAATGAAAAGAAAGACCGTTCATACCCTTAAGGAACTTACATTCTAATGGGAAAAGGCAGCTGAAAAGGGTGGGGAAAATAGAGAAGGTATCCACATGGGGATGTGGGGACAAAGTCCAGAGAGGCAAGAATGGAGCTGGGAGAGGCATGAGGAATGGCTGTGCTGGGTACTTCCAGGAGGAGCTCACCAATGGGAGGAGGGAGAAAAGAACTGCTGAGCCAGGATGTTGCCCCAACCTCAGGTTGGACTCAATGGATTGTTGCAACCACTTGAAATTTTAAGTCCAGCCTCCCAAGGACCAAATGCAGAGGGGAAAGTGTGCCCTCCAGTCTGGAGGGGATGTGATTGCATTTCCAGACTTGTTATACTACCTCAGGAAATGTTCCTTTGTCAAAACTAGTTTATGTTAATCAATACTCAGGAGATCTTAGCTGCTTTAAAAAGTTATTGGGAAGCACGATGGTGGAGGCTTCTCAGTAACAGTATCAGAAAATTCTCTAAACTCTCAGGTTTATCCCTAGAACCCAGAGGGAAAAAGTTATCCCTCTCTGGGGACCTGACCTGCCAGTGTGAATGCCAGTTGAGAAAATGAGCCCCAGGGTGGGTGCTGACTACATATACAATTTCTCTCTCTCTCTCTCTCTCTCTCTCTCTCTCTCTCTCTCTCTCTCTCTCTCTCTCTCTCTCTGTATATATATACTTTATGATTGAGAGGTTAGATGAATTAAAGTGTAATCACTCTATCATTGTACATTGTTCTTACTGTGCTGTGGTTTTAGAAGAAGAGACAGTGCTCCACTGAGGAGGACTTGGAGAGGTGATTCACTGAGGGAAGGAGGGATGATCCCACACCAGGGAGACTGGAGAAACAGGATGGTACTACTGGGGAGTGGGGGAGGGAGGAAGAGATCATTCAAACCTTTTAAAGAATAGAAAGGAAGACAGTAAATGAGAAGAATCTGAGAAGACCCCAAGATGAAGCAATCCTCACTGGGGAGCCTGGAGGATATAGAAAAGCACCAAATACAGGGCCAAAAGACCATCATGAGAGGGACAGTCATGAGGAACTAGAGGCAAATTCTGTACCCAGAGCATGGGAATGGCAAATTCAAGGAATTTATTTGGGCACAGTCTAAGATTCTCCTGAGTCAGAATATCAGAGGGAACACTTTTCTCCTGGAGTCCAGATGAAAAGGACCTCTATGATGACCAAGAGAGTTGAAATAAATAATCCTACTTTGGCTTCTCTGGGGGATTTGTTCTGGGGCTCGTGGAAGTTGTAGAATTTTTGTCTAGCTTTCTTTTGTGATATTCTTTGGCAGGGAGAATTGTGTTACCATCTAACATCTATGACCACATGATGCCTCCTTCACAGATAACTATCTCCTCCAAATTTTAGTTTCTTCATCTACAAAATGAAAGGATAGGATTAGATGATCTCAAAAGATAGACCAAGTGATATAGTGTAGATTGCTTGTGGTGATCCATTGGCATAGCTAGAGAAACTATTCATGGTGAGTCAGAGAATCATAGATTTGGAGCTGGAAGGGACCTCGAAGATCATCTCATCCAACACACTGATTTTACAGAGGATGAAACTGAGATCCACAGTGGGGAAGTTAATTGACCAAGTACACAAAGGAAGGTGAGTTCAGAATCCCTGCCTCAAAATTCTGTGTTAGTTCCAGTATACAATGTCAATACTATCATCTCTATAAACCAAGGGCAAACATATTGTTCCTTCACATGACTTCCTAACGAGGGCCTTAGCATCTCTGGTTCCAGAACCATATAGAGGCCTTTTATACTAATGGAACCCCATAAATGGTTATAAGTTGCATTAAAATATTTGTGGCAAAGGCTTGCAGCTCAGGTCTAGGGGTCACTAAATGGAGCATTGGTTCTAAATGCCTCTGTATGGTCATAGTTCTTCTTTGCCCAGCATTCTGTGATCAAACTTCATACCTCAATGGGAGAGGCAGAAATTCTAGTACCATATTCTCCCTATCTTATGGACTAGTTGGCCAAAATAAAAATAATGAAATTACTTTTTTCTGAGGTTGTTAGAATAGAATTTTGGATAGCAGGTTCATTTGACCTGCAGATATTTGAACCCTATAAGATCACAGATTTAGAGATAAAAGTGGGCTTAGAGGACAATTAGTCCAATCCTCTCATTTTAGAGATGAAGGAACTGAGATCCAAAGAGACAAAATGATTTGCCCAAAGACATAGAGGTAATAAGTGTCAGAAATGGAATTTGAACCTAGGACTTCTCTGATTCTATAGCATTTCCATTGTACCATATTTTAATGCTCCTGGGCCTTAGGAAACTGTTTCTCAAGGCTAAGAAGATGTTTTTACCAATCCAGTGCATTGGAAAAGGTAGGCCTATGAGGCAGAGAACACAGTGAGAGGTCATGTGGTATAGTGGGAAGACCCACATTAGATTGTAAGCTCCTTGAGGGCAAGAATTAACTTTTACCTCTTTTTGTATCTCTAGCACTTAGTAAGTGCATGGAACATAATTGTTGTTATTATTGTTCAGTCACTTCAGCTGTGTGTAACTCCTCATGACCCCATTTGGGGTTTTCTTGGCAAAGACATAGGAGTGGTTTGCCACTTCTCCCCCTCATTCTACAGATGAAGAACTGAGGCAAACAGGATTAAATGACTTGCCCAGGGTCACACAGCTAGCAACCGAGGCTGGATTTGAACTCAGGAAGATAAGCCTTCCTGACTCCAGGCCTTGTCCTCTATTCACTTCACCACCTAGCTGCCCTTGGCACATAACCCTAAATATTTATAGATTGAAAGCTAAGAAACCTGCTTTCTAGTTATAAATCTGATACTAATTAGCTATGAGATCTTGAAAACCTTTGAGTCTTAGTTTCTTCATCTATAAAATGAATGGATAGATCCAGCTGATCTTTAAGATTTCCAGTCTTGAAGTTTTACTAATCTATAGTTTTTTGAGTATTAAGTGAATCATCCACAAATACCAGATTCTCTTATGTTAAGAGTATTCTTATCCCCGCCTTCCAAGCATTTGATAGTTCTTAAACAAGAGCAGGGAAGTCTATGCAGGACTTCATAAATTTTTAGCTACTCCTATATCCTAGGAAGGAATATTTCACCCTACACTTTAAAGATAGTGTTTCCCTTTGCCCCTAAGAACAATAGGTAGTCTCTGTTTCTTTCCTTTGCAGACAATCTAAGATTTTGGTTGCCCGAGATGGCTAGCCGCATCTAGAGGGGACATGGTGAAAGCATGTGATGTATAGATAATGGGTTTAGTTGTAATGTCCATCTCAAGGTCCTGGGAGACAGTATTTAAGTATTAGCTTTGTTCTCTCCTCGAGGAGGTAGTAGCATCTTCCAGTATTCAGGTGGCAATTTGACTTAATGTTGATAAGTGACATTTCAAAATAGGCAGACTTTTTTTTTCAACTTGATTGGCAGGGCCAGGGATGGAAGATATTTGACCTCTTAGAGCCACTCTGGTAGAATCCTTGACTTCCTTCAAAGCTTAGCTCAAACACCACTTCCCACATGAACTGCTTGTCCATTCTCCCCAACCCCACCAACCCTCATGAGTTATTTGTATTTAGTTTTTATGTATTGCCTATTATGTGTATGTATCTCCTCCATTAGAATGGAAGCTTCTTGAAGGCAAGCATTCTTTCACTTTTGTCTTTGTGTCTCCAGTGCCTAGCACAGTGCCTGAGACAAGGAGGATGAGTAATAAATGTTTGTTGGTCGATTGTTAATTGCTTGATAAGTATAAAAGACACTCGCTATCAAGAATATTAAGAAATTGAAGACTGGAGAATGAAAGTGCTCACACAAGAAAGACACTGAGGCAAAACAAGTCAGAGATGGGATTTGAACCCTGGTCTTCTTCTTCTAAAATGTTACAGTAAACTTTTTACTAAGCTTGTCTTCTAGTGTCAGCCATGACAGTTGTGAGGACCACTTCCCTACCCCAAACCTTGGTTAATTCTGCTTCCAAAAGGAGAGGAGGGGACCTCTTACCCTTTCACTTCCTGTCACCATATAAGCGTGATTATTTACTAGTCCCAACTGGTCTAAGCTGTTTGAAGACTTCAAGAGAAAAAAGTAAGACAAAGGAGTTACTCTCAGAACTGATTTGTGATACAGTTATACAAAGAGGGCAACATATAAGCATATACAGAGCGTCTCAAAAGTCTTAGTGGAGTTTAAGCATTTGTATCTTTGCTGGCAGGATAATTTCCACTGACTAACAACAGAACTGAACAAAATCATGCACATTCCTGGGACCTCTTTTACTACATAACCTTAACGAATGATAAACTAGGGATTGGTTTGAAACACACTACATTTCTTCAGTCAACATTGGTCCAGAAAATAGATAATAAGTGCCTAATATGTGACAATCACTCTGCTAGCTATCAAGAGGATGCCAGCAGAAGTAAAGCAAGGTCCTTACCCTCAAGGAATTTATTATCTAGTAGGGAATTTTTTAAAAAGTATACAAAAATGATGATGGTGATGATGATGATGATGATGATGATGATGATGATGACGACGATGACAATGATGATGATTAGGTATACCTGGATCTCCCCACCCTGGAAGTGCAATGACTAATCACAGGTTGGATCCCACTACTAACTGATACAAGAGCTCCAACCTACTCCATTTCTGACTTGAACCAGTTTGTACCCATCTTAGGCAACCTGATCAGCTTAGCCCTTGTGGCTTGGAATGCCTGGGTTTAAGGAATCATCTTCCGCTTTCATGGTAGCAGAGGTTATAGGCATATACTGCCACACACAGCACAAATAAACATTATGCAATGTAGCACATAATAAATATAAAAGAGAGGTACAAAATTCTAGAAGAGAGAGACATAATCTCTGGCCAAGTGAGGGTTAGAGCAGGAAAGGCTTTGTGGAAGATATGGCATCTGAGCTGGGCTTCAAAACATGAAGAGAATGTAAACAGGACCAGCCAGGTATTAGTCCTACTAGTTACTACTGCAGGGGGAGAGGAAGGAAGAAGAGAGAAGATTTTATAGAAATATGATACAGTGTGGGTAAAAGTAAAGCGGTGGAAAAGCATAGGACATGTTCAAATAATGATAAGAATCCAGGATCGCAAAACTTCACAGCTGAGAGACACTTCAGGGGACATCTAATCCAACCACTACTGGAAAAAAAGCACCACCACATCACACCCAAACATTTGAATGTTTAATATGGTAAATATTGTTATAAATAATCCACATAAATGAAAACTCTTTGGGAGAGTTCTCAATAATTTTTAAGAGTATCAAGGGGTCCTCAGACCTTGAGAACCATTGGCTGAAGAAGTTGATCTTCTAATTTGGACAACCCAAACTGATTCCTTACTCAGAACCATTCCTAGAGTAGATAAGAACAATTCATTCAGTTACTCTAGAGTGCCCCTGAAGAACATCTATGTCTCTTTGCTCTGATTCTATTCTCATAAAGCAACCATCTCATTTCATAACTTAGTTGCCAGTGTAGCCTTATCTATTAAGAGTAGGTGTCCTGTGTAGAAGATAGGTGCTGGTTCTTATATCACTATCAATTAGTAAATCGACATTTTAGTTTATCAACAAGAGTCTTATTGAGTTTGATTAGCAAAAGGTGCTTCCCCAGAGTCTGGTCTTTGTGGAACTGATAAAATGGTGTTTTTGAAACTGAAAATCCTAGGTCCAACCTCTGAACTCTAGGTGCTCCCACTAAGAGCAGTCCAGTTTGGCTGGAACTTAGGGGGCATGAGGAGGAGGAGTGAGAGATGAAGCTCCACATACAGTGTGTGGCCAGAGAATAAAGGATTTTGAATGTCAAGGTAAGATCTTTTACTTTATCCTATGGGTAGCTTTGGATGGGTTTTCATCAGGGAAGTGATGTGATAAGAGCTATGGATTAAGAGATTAACTCCCAATACTGTGTAGTGGCAGTGACTGGAGGGGCAAACAACCGGAGCAGTACCACCACTTAGGAGGCTGTCATGATCATTTTTGGACTGGATCTGGGATTGCCTTGGGATACCTTAGTTAAAAGGATAATAGATCTAGAGGTGGAAAGGAGCTCCAAGGCCATCTAACTAACCCTCCTGTTTTACAGGTGAGTAAACAGGGATCTAGAGTGGTTAAGGGAGTAAGTGGCAGAGGTCAGGTTTGAACTCAGGTCCTCTGACTTAAGAGTCAATATTCATTCCATTATGTCATACTGTGAAGGTTCTTTTGGAGGGGGAAATAAAAGCCTCTAACACAGTCTAGTACTTTGATGTTAGGAAGACAGGGCAATGGGGCTTAGTATAACAGTTGGTCAACATGGCGCAGCCCCACCTGGTACTTACGTCTGTAATCCCACATGTTATTAGTGAGCCAGATTGCTCTGCCACTTTCAAATTCTTGAACAGATTGAGATGGACTTTCTTAAGATTGATTTTTGTGACCACCCATCCTGTCAGTTCCACTAATGAGTCAGCCATGATGCCATAATGCAACTGGAAGTAGGAGCCATGGAGCCTGTCAATGGGAAACTGGAATTAGCCTCATCAGTTCAGAAAAGAAAAAATGAATTGACTCTTATTAGCATTATTCTATTAGGGATATGAACACAGATGAGAATATACAAAGTGATTTCAAAAGGGAAAGAGTACTTATAACAGATATAGGTGATTAGAAAAGGTATCCTGTAGGAGCTATGCTTTCAAGGAAGTTAAATATATATATAAAATGAGGGAGGAGAGAAGTAAGTGCATTCCAGACATAGGATTTTTGAGTAGGGGAATGATATAGTCAGATGTATGTTTTAGGAATATCATGTTGGCAATTTGTGTGGAAGACAGTTTAGAGAGGGGGGATTTTTCAATAGACCAGGGAGGAAGTGAAGATAGGAGGCTGTGAGTAAAGGGAAGGAAATAGATGTGGGGTGTTATGCAGGTTAAATCAGCAAGACTTGGCAAATGATGGGGTATGGAAGGTTACGGAAAGAAAAAAAGATCATTTCAAAGTTACGGACAAAAGTGACTAGAAGAAAGATCACATTCTCCTCAAAAGAAATAGGGAAGTTTGGAGGAAGAGAGAGGGCTTTAGGAAACTAGCATGAGTTTTGTTTTGGACAAGTTGAGTTTGAGATGTATCTGGGGTATTCACGGGAGATTCCTAGCAGAAGTTGGTGATTCAGGGATGGATGAAAGTGTTCAGGAGAGAGATTAAGGCTGAAAATGTCAATTTGGGAATCGTCTGCATCGGAATTATCGTTGAACTCAAATCACCAAGGAACAGAGTATAGAAAGAAAAGACCCAAGACAGATCCTTAGCAGTTACCCACATTTATTGGGAAGGAGCAGGACAATAACTGAGCAAAGGTATCTGAGAAGAACAGTCAGACAGGTAGGAGAATTGGTCAAGAATAATGCTGTAGAAGTCAGGGAAGGAGAGAGTAAATTTGTTGTGAAACTTTGAGCAAATCATTTCACCTCTATGGACCTCACTTTCCCTGCCTGTAAAAGACAGGGTTAGATTAACTGAACTCTTTGAAGCCTTTGACATGGTTGATCACCATCTCTTCCTTAACACTTTCTCTTTAAATTTTTGTGACACTGTTTTGTCCTGGTTCTCCTCCTATCTGGTGAATTGTTTTCAGATGGATCTTCAGCTAGGTGAACTGTTCTCTTTGATGGATCTTCAGCTAGGTCCACTAATTTGGAATGTCACCTGAGACTCTGTCCTGGCTCTTCATCTCTTCTCTGTTTATGCTATCTTATCTGGTGATCTCATTGGCTCCCATGGATTCAATCATCATTTTTATGAAGATAATTCCCAGATCTTTATATTTGACATCTGTCTATCCATCTATCCATCCATCCATTTGTCCATCTATTCATCCATCCATCCAGCTATCTATCTATCTATCTATCTATCTATCTATCTATCATCTATCTATCTATCTATATTTTCTGAACTGTAATCCCATATCACCAATTGCCTTTTGGACGTCTTGAACTGGGTATCCTGTAGATGTTTCAAACTCAACATGTCCAAATGGAACTCATCATCTTTCTGCCAAAATCCTCCTCTCTACTTAGATTCTTCATGACTGTTGAGGGTACCACCATCTTCCTAGTCACCCAGGTTCACAACCTCAGTTTCATCCTCCACTTCTCACTGGCAGTCTACTGGCAGTGCCATTGGCAGTCCCACGTATGCAATCCATTATAAAATCTTATCATTTTAACCTTTACAACATCTCTCATATGTGTCTTCACTTACATAGTTACCTTTGTATGGGCTCTTATCACCTCTCTCTCATTGTAGTAACCTCCTAATTGGTCTCTTTGCCTCAAGTCCAGACCATTCTCCACTCAACTCCCAAAGTGATTTACCAATAGTGCAGGTCTAACAATGTTGCCTCCCTCCTCAATAAATTCCAGTATTTCCCTATTACCTTCAATATCAAAAGTTCTCTTATTGATATTCAAAACTCTTCACAACTTGAAGCCTTCATCATCTTCCTGGTCTTCCTACTTTTTGCTTCCTCCCTGCAACCTCCACAACTCCATTCCCTACAACGAAGTTACATTGGTGTACATGCTTTTCCTGAGACAGCACTCCATCTCCCAACTCTTTGCCTCTGTATTGGCTTTTCTCCATGCTTAGATTGCTCTCCTTCCTTCTTTCCACCTCTTAGCTTCTTGATTTGCCTTCAAGACTCAGTTCAAATCCCACCATCTTCACTAGCTTCTCACCCTGCCCCCCCTTCCCTCTAAGATTCCCTCCCATTCCCATTATATAGTTTGCATTATACTTGCTGATCTGTTGTTTCCCTCCTTAGAATGTTGGGCAGGGACTGCATTTTTAACCTTTCTTTGTATTCCCTGCATTTAGCACAGTGCCTAGCACATGGAAATGTTCAGTAAATGCTTGCCAGCTGACTGACCTATCAGTCCTTTCTAACTATAACTGTCTTTGAGTCTTAGTCTGTCCTGTTCCTATTTCTGCAACATGGAGACTACATAGGAAGCTGGTCATGGTTCTTAAGTTCTAGGCTGAGGCTTTCATATTTTATTCTAGAAGCAAAAAGGAGGTAAGCTCAAACCCAGGTTTCCTGATTCCCATTCCATAACTTTTGCAGTATCACTACTTCTAGAAAAAGAAAGCAGGGACAAGCCACATTTGGGCAAGTTTTTAGGGTTGAGATGTTAGGTCCTAGGGCTCATTGTCTTATCCCATTTCAGAAACAAGGATTCCTTTTCTAAGTCAATCAATTCAGTGATCAAAAGGGGTTAAAAGTCATCAAGCTAATTCTCATTCCTTTTGGAGAACATCAGTGTTCCCATAAGTCTCTCAGAAGTGAATTATCTTCCCTAACCACTGGATTCAATAACTGTTGTTATTACCTGGGCATAGGTCTCAAATTCCAATGAACAGCTCATTCTGACACATCTCCTTGACAGAATTCTTAGATATTTCTCACCAGCTGGTTCAAAGGACAGTTAAAAACAAACTTTCTGGAAGTGCGATGCCTGCCTGTAATCCCTGCTGCTGGGGGAGGCTGAAACTGGTGAATGACTTGAATTCTGAAATACAAGAAGGAGGGCTAAAGTCAGGTGTCCACTCTAATTCTGGATACCAATATTATGGGCCCCTAGGAAGGTATGGAGATAGGGTTGAGAGTGGAAGTGGACCATCAGGTTGCCTAAAAGGGGACAAACTAGGTTAAGTTAAAACATAATAGTTCAAAGATTCCAGTTGGATCAAGAGTGGCCATTGTATTTCCAGCTCGGGTTGAGAAAGAGAGATCCCCCACCACTAAATAAATAAGCAAATAAATGAATGAGTGAATGAACAAATAACTGAATGAAGACATAAATGAATGGATAAGTAAACAAATAAATACTTAAAAGCAGTCACTTCAGAGGCTCAGAAGTGAGTTTGGGGTCTGATAAAGCAGTGTCTTACCAGTTCCTCATTATACAATGTGTCATGTGGTTAGAGTGCTAGATGAGGAGACAAGAAGTACTGGGTTCAGGTTCTGCCTTTGACTCTTATTAGCTCTGTGACTATGGATAAAATAAAGTAATAAGTGAATTGTAAACATAGGAAGTTAATACCTGAACACCTACTGGGCATGGAAGCTCAGTCCCTCTGATGCCAAAGGGCATTCTGCAGCTGATACAGAGTCAGAAAATCCACCCTTTTCAATGCCTTATTCCCTCCCTCCCCCAAGGCGTGTCCTACAGACAACAGGTTTGCCTAAGGATTAATGAGGTCTGGCATGTCACAAGTGGTGCAGCTGGGTAAGCATATTCATCCAGGAACGTGGAGAGAAGAGGAAGCTGGAAGTTCCAGAAAGTGCTTACTTGGCATAAGCCTTCTTAAGCAAACAGGGCCAAAATTCGCTGCTCCCTCAATGGGGATAAACAAACAGGTATTTTCCACTGATTGAGCTCACAAGGAGACGGTCCTCCACCACCACATCCACCCACTGCCCACATGGCCAAAACTGAAAGAGAAAAGAGGGAATTCCCAATCAGAATGACCTCAATTTATATTAAGCCCTGGTTCAAATGAGAGAATAATTGTAAAGCCCTTAGCACAATGCCTCCCACATTGTAAGTACTGTGTAAATGTTAGTTACCAGTGGTGGTGGTGGTGGTGATGCTGCTGCTGCTGCTGCTACTCCAACAATACTTGCTAGCTGTGTGTGACTTTGGCCAGGTCTTGTCACCTCTCTAAGCCCTGGGTCAATATACTCCCACCAGCAGCTTATTTTTTATTCCAATGAGCTAAGAATGTTTTGTTTTGTTTTTTACATTTAAAAAACAAGCAAACAAAAAACTATGATCTGCAAGCCCAATCTGGCCCACTGCTTGTTTTCATATGGCCCACATTCTCCCCTCCCCCAAAATAATTTGTTTTTAACATTCTTTTAAAAGCTTTTTTTGATGGGGCCAGCTAGGTGGTGCAGTGGATAGAGCACTTTCCCTGGATTCAGGAGGACCTGAGTTCAAATGCAGCCTCAGACACATAACACTAGCTGTGTGACTCTGGGCAAGTCACTTAACCCCATTACCTACCCCCAAAAAAAAAAGTTTTTTTGAGTTCCAAATTCTCTTCCTCCCTCTGTTCCCTACCCCGTCCATGGAGAAGGCAAGCAATGTGATATTAATTATACATGCAAAATCATATAAAACATTTCCATATTAAGATTGTTATAATTTTTAAAAAGCAAAAAAAAAAATAAAGTAAAAAATAATTGTACTTCAATTTAATCTCAAGAGTTCATCAGTTCTCTCTCTGGAGGTAGATTATATATTTCATCACGAATCCTTCAGAATTATCTTGGATCACTGTATCTATCAGAGTAGTCAGGTCTTTCATAGTTGATCATCATTACAATACTGTTGTTACTGTATACAATACTCTCCTGGTTCTGCTTACTTCACTCTGCATCAATTCATATAGGTTCCCAGGCTTTTCTGAAGCCATCCCCTTTGTCATTTTTTTTTTTTTAGTGAGGCAATTGGGGTTAAGCAACTTGCCTAGAGTCACACAGCTAAGTGAGTATTATGTGTCTGAGGCCAGATTTGAACTGAGATTCTCCTGACTCCAGGGCTGGTGCTCTGTCCACTGTGCCACCTAGCTGGCCCCTACCCTTGGTCATTTCTTATAGCACAATAATAATCCATCACAATTATATACCACAACTTGTTCAGCTATTCTCTAATTGATGAACATACCCTAAATTTCCAATATCATAAAAAAGAACTGCTATAAATATTTTTGTACAAATAGGTCCTTTTCCATTTTCTTTGACCTCTTTGTAATATAGACCTAGTAGTGGTATTGCTGGGTCAAAGAATATTCACAATTTTATAGCCTTTTGGGCTTGTTCCAAATTGTTCCCCAGAATGATTGGATCTGTTCACCACTCCACCAACAATGTATTAATATCCCTACTTTTCCACATCCCTTCCAGCATTTATCATTTTCCTTTTTGTCGTCTTAGCCAATCTGATAGGTGTGAGGTGGTACCTCAGAGCTGTTTTAATTTGCATTCTTTAACCAATAATAATTTAGAGCATTTTTTCATATGATAACGGACAGCTTTGATTTCTTCTTCTGAAAACTGCCTGGTCATATCCTTTGACCATTTACCAATTGGGAAATGGTTACTATTTTTATAAATTTGACTCAATTCCCTATATAATTGAGAAATGAGACCTTTATCAGAGAAATTTATTTTCCAATTTCTTACTTTCCTTCTAACTTTTTTCTGCATTAATTTTATTGGTTTGCAAAATCTTTTTAATTTCATGTAATCAAAATTATCCAATATACTTCCTGTAATCCCCTCCATCTCTTGTTTGGTCATGAAATTCTTCCCTCATCCATAGATCTGACAGGTAAAATTTTCCATGTTACCCTAATTTACTTATCATACCACTCTTTCTGTCTAAGTCATGCATCCATTTTGACCTTACCCTGGTATACAATGTGAGATGTTGGTCTATGCCTAGTTTCTGTACAGCCCATACTCTTAGCTCTGTGATGGGACATAGTTTACTGATCCCTACATCCAAAGGCCTGGTTTCCTCATTTTTAAAATAGCTAACAGAAAGCTTGCACAATCCCTCAATCAACAAACAATTATTAAGCATTTACTCTGTGTCAGGTACTATGTTAGCCATCAAGAATACAAAGAAAGGACGCAAACAGTCCCTTTCCTCAAGGAGACATGCGCATATATATAGTAACTTCATTATTCAGATTTTCTCTGAAGTCAGGAAAAGGTTCTGGGACCCAGCAGTCCTGGTGGACTTGTGGAAGTCATAATTCAAGGACAGTGTGAGTTTCCTGCCAACCCTCCTCCTTGCCCTGCAAACACATACACAGGAGGAAGAACCTAGGTTCTGGAGGGAGGACGTTGACCTAAAGGGACTGAGGACAAAATTCAGGGATTCATTTCGGGAGGGAAGTAAGTACAGAGTCATCATGATGGCAGTGAGGAAGGAGAAAGAAAAACCTCTATAGCATTTTGTAATGAGCATTCAAAGGCTAGAGGCTGGGTGTTACAGGCTTGGCTCCTAATGCCACAGCCTCTGCTTATTAGAGGGAGAATAAACCCACCTCTGATGGAGTTAGCTGAAATGTCCAGAAGCTACTGGTTATGTCACTTTGGGAGATGTACAAAAGGATAGTAAAGTTTCAACTCCCCTTTCCCTTTCTTTTTGCCTGCAGCTGGTAGGCATATTCTACAAGATTTTTCTATTTCTTTGAATTGCTTCTAATTCCTGATTTTGTTCAATAATGGTCACAAATGGTGTGATTCACATCTGTTTATTATTTTTCTACAGAAGGATTGCAATGGAGGAAGTCAGTGAATAGCTTGGAATATACAGGGTTAAAGAAAATAGTGGTCCAAAATGTTAGGGTTTTTTTTTCCTTTCTTATTTAAGGGCTGGGCTGAAAGAGAGAATCTTATGGTTTGATTTTATTAATAATTCATATAAGCTTTTCCCACCCCAGGCCAGCCATCTCTTCATTTCCCACCTGGCTACACTGCATTTCTCAAGTATGCCTGGGCCAAGTACCTTCCCTTTCCATCCCTCACTCCCACCCTTTCAGCTTCCTTTCCAGTGTTGTCTTCCCCAATTTAATTGTAAGTTCCTTGAGGGCAGGATCTTGTCTTTCTTTTTTGATTTAGTTTCCCCAGCACTTATTATAGTATCTGGCAAATAGTAGGTGCTTAATAAATGTTTAAGTTCCTAAATAACAGAAAAAGACGTATCATATGACTCAGAACCCTTTACCCCTAGGCTACAGAGCCAAGAGTAAGCAAGATTCAGGTGCCACATAGTACTAGCATTTCAATGAGGCTTCTAGCCTGTAGAAGAAGGTCAGAGCAGGAGAGGACCAAGGGAAACTCACACAACTTGGGCTACTCTTTGAGAAGAGAGAGGTGTCAGAAGGATGGGAAGAGTGGCTATGCCCAGGAGCTGGTAAAATTCAGAAAGTGGAAAGAAAAGAAGAGAACACATATGGCTGCATTTAGGTCTTCCTCACAGTCAAAACTTACCTTGTAGCAGCCTTCTGGTTACAAAAGTACATGCAAAATAGATACAAAATACACAAAAGGTGATTTTTACAGGGACACATTAGCTGTCTGGAGAATCGGGAAAAACTTAGCTTAAAAAATGGTGCTTGAGCTGAGCCTTGAAAGAAATTAGGGATTCTAAAAGGTCACAGAGGAAAATAATAGATCCTAGGAATTAAGGACAATCCATACAAACCTGATAGGGTTAACGTAAGGAAAGTGCTTTAAGGCAGTTAGGTGGACTAATGTATTAAGTGCATGATTTAGAGTCAGGAGGACTTGTGTTTGAATTCTGCCTCAGACCCTTGCTAGCTATGATCCTGGGCAAGTCACTTAACCTCTTTCAGATTCAGTTTCCTCATCTGCAAAATGGGACTAACAATAATACTTTCTTCACAAGGATCTAATGCGATAATATAAATAAAGCACTTTGCAATCCCTGAAGCCCTATACAAATGTTAGCTGTTATTGTCACTCCTACTAACATACTTTAAAGTGACATTAAAAAAGTGAGTGGTTAGGGACAGCAAGGTGATGCAGTAGACAAAGCACCCAGCCTGGAATCAGGAAGGAGACCTGAGTTCAAATCTGGCTTCAGACACTTATTAGCTATGTGACCACTAGAAAAATCACTTAACCTCTATTTGCCTCAGTTTCCTCATCTGTAGAAGGGGATACTAGTAGTACCTTTCTCCCATGGTTTTTGTGAAGACCAAATGAGATAATATTTGAAAAAGTGCTTAGCACAGTGTCTGGCATATGGTAAACACTATATAAATATTATCTATTATCTGTTATTATCTATTATTGTTGTTATTGTGATGGTGATATAGACATAAAGTGATTTCACATTCATTAGCTCACTTAGGATCAAGTAGTATAGAGCTGAAAAAGACCTTTTAGATCATCTGGTCAAATATCTTTATGCTACAGATGAGACAACTGAAACCCAGTGAGGGGAAATGACTTGTCTAAAGTCACATGGTAATTGAGAAATAGAGCCTGTATTTTTTTTAATTAGCCCTTTATGCACTTTTATCTAATTCCTAATGATTTCTGAAAATGCTACCTCTTCTCACCCTATTTACCTGAAGAACTTTGCCCTGTGGCAAAGAAAAACACATAGCAATTTTAAGCGAAACAAACCACACAGTGACTAGATAGGAAACAGGTGATGTGCCACACCCATCTTTCCCCATCTCTCTAAGGAAAGAGAATTCATAAGACTGTAGATTTCAAGGCAGAAGGTATCTTAGAGATCATCTGATTCTACCCCTTCATTTTACAGATAAAGAAACAAAGTCCCAAAAGGTTGTTGCTTGTCCAAGGTAGGAAGCAGCAAAGTCATGATTTGAACCCAGATATTCTCACACCTATGGGCAGGTAGGTGGTTCAGGGGCCAGAATGCCAGCCTTGGAGTCAGGAGACGAGTTCAAATCCAGCCTCTGACACTTGTTAGCTGTGTAACCCTGGACAAGTCACTTAACCCTGTTTGCCTCAGTTCTTTATCTGTAAAATGGGCTGGAGAAGAAAATGGCAAACCACCCCAGCATGTTTGCCAAGAAAATCGCAAAAAGGGTCACCAAGAGTTGGACATGACTAATTTATTAAACAACAGCAACAAATTCTTACTCCTATTTTAGCATTCCATCCACTGTAGCTCCTGCCTCTCATTCTCATCTCTTTCTGGTGCCAAGTTTGGTGACTGCAATCATACAACATTGTATTTAATTTTCATATTCTTTTTGTTTATATTGCTGTAAGCATTGAATATATAAGTCCTCTGATTCTTCTTGCCTCACTCTGCATCAGTTCATACAAATCTTCCCATGTTTCTTAGAATTCCTCTTTATCCTCTCTTACATGGGGTGACATTCCATTATATTCTTGAACACCATAATTTGTTCAGTCATTCCCCAAGTGATGGGCATGCTTGTTGTTTACAGTTTCTTGCAAAAATGGAATTTGAACCCAGGTCCTCTGACTTCAGGCCCAGTGTTTTATCCATCATACCACAATGCCTCACAACAACCCTTTGAGGGAGGTTGGGGATAGTTCCCCATTTTTCCAGAGGAAACTGAAACTTAGGGAAATTAAGCAAAAGTCCCAAGGTCATGTAGCCAGTAAACAACAAAACAGTAATAATAATAATAATAGCTGACCTTTATATAATGTTTTCAGATTTATGAAACACTTTACAAATATTATCTCACAACACTCCTGAGAGGAAGTAGGTTCTATTATTATCCCTATTTTACAGATGAAAAAACTGAGGCAGACAGAGATGAAAGTGACTTGTCCAAGCTAGTAAGTGTCTGAGGCTGAATTTGAGTTCAGGTCTTCCTAACTCCAGGCCTAGCCCTCTATCCACAGTGCCACCTAGCTACCTCATTAAGCATAGCAAACTTCATCAGAGAGTGAGTAAGTAGGATGTCCTAGCCAAAACCTTAATGTTATCTTAGGGAGCATTGATAGAAGTTTAGTGTCTCAAACTAGGAATGTTATAGTCTGACTGTACTTTGTAAACACGTTGGGAGTCTTGTGTTCAAATCTGGACACCACATTTTGAGAAAGACACTGAGAGTGCTGGATCATATTCAGAGAAGGGCAAGAGCTAGGAAACCTCAACACAAGAAGAGGTTGAAGGAACTGAGAATGTTTTACCTGGAAAAGAGTAGACTGAGGGAAGGAACGTGACAGCATTCTTCAAGTTTTTAAAGGATACTCATGTGGAAAGCAGACTGAACGTCATCTGCTTTGCCCATAAAGGACAGAAATAGGGCCGATGAGTAGAAGTAAGGTTATTTTGGGTCTTAACCTGTGATTTCATCGGCATGGTGGAAGTCTCAGTAGGGAAACTCCCTTTGCCATGCATATTAACAGCTCATCTACTATAACTTATAGACTTAGAAAATGGCCCCAGGGGCACTAAGGGATTAAGTGAAGTTTCCATGGTTAGATAGGTACCCAATCTGTATAAAAGGCAGGATTTCAACCCAGTTCTTCCTCACTCCAGTGCCATGACGCCAAGTTGCTTTTCAGGCAAATGCAGCAGGAAGGCAAAGTTTGTGCCAATATAAAGAAAAACTTCCTGACAAAGATAACTGTCTAAAATAGAAATAGCTGATTCAGGAAAAAGCTGATTCCTTGTCCCTGGAGATCCTTAAGCATTCACTGAACAACTGTTTTACAGATGTGGGAGACAGGATTCCTATTTCAGGCAGGAGTGGGGCTCAGTTGTCTCTGATTCTAATTCTAATTCAGGGATTTTATAATTCTAAATGAGCTTGCCAGGGTCACATAGTAAGTCAGTCAGTAGTGAAGCCAAGAACAGAACACAGATCTCCTTTGTCACATTTCTACAGCTTTATAAGTTGTTTTCCCTAATGTAAGTAGGTGATGCCAGTATAATTTTAGGTGTATGAATGTAACAATTATGTATGAGAAAGCCCAGAGAGTTAAAGCAACTTTTTTGAAAGTCACACAGCTAGCAGGCGACAGATTTGGAATGGGAATCAAGGTCCTTTGACTCCGAATCCTTCCACTTCCCACTGTCCCCCATGTTACCTCCCTTCTCTAGCTCACTGCTCTTCTCCAGCAAACAGGGACAGACTCAATAACAAGTTAATCTGTCAGGGACATTGGAAACTGGGCTAGCATCTTTATCTCAATGTCTCAGAGAAACTTCTCAAACCCTTTCTGTGTACCTTTGCCTGTTTATCAGGAGCAGCTGCAGACATTATTAAATACATATCAGGGCACTGTGCTGAGCTCTGAGACTATAAGGGAAGGAAATGAACATTTATTAAGGCCTACAATGTGCCAGGAGGCAGCTAGGGGGCTCAGTGGATGCAGCACTGGGCCTCAAGTCAGGAAGACCTGAGTTTAAATCCAGTCTCAACACTCACTAGCTATGTGACTCTGGGCAAGTCACTTAACCTCTCCTTACATTAATCCACTAGAGAGGGAAATAGCAAACCATTCTAGTATCTTCGCCAAGAAAATCCCATGGACAGTACTGGTGTGCTATGGTCACAAAGAGTTAGACACAACTGAGTCACTGGACAGCAGCAACATTCTAGGAACTGTGTTAGGAACTTCATAGAGATTATCCCATTTAATCCTCACAAAAAAACCTGAGAAAGTGCTATTATTCTCCCCATTTTACAGTTTAGGAAACCAAGGCAAGCAGAGGTTAAGTGAGTTGTCCAGGGTCACATAGCTAAAAAGCATATGAAGATATATTTTATTTAGACTTTGGGTTTGGTGTCATGGAAAGAAGTCAGAGGACCTGGGTTTGAATGCTTATTCTCTGTGTGACATTCCCCCTTTCCAGGCCTCAGTTTCCTTATCTGCAAAATGAAGGGGTTGCTCTAGTTGGTGTGTGAGCTAGACCCATGATTTGATGATCTAAGTCCCAGGCTGAATGGGCTCAGATCCATTAATGAGGAGGGCACACAGACCAAGTGAGGTGGTGGGGGAAGGGGAACTGCTAGCCATCATCTGTTTATAAATGAAGTGGAACCCTCAGTAGGACTGTCTGGACATCTGGAGGTCACAGATGTTCTCCTGGCAGATCAAGCTGGGGAAGTGCTCTGAGAACACAGAGGGAGAGGTTGGGATGTCGGCAGAGACAGCACAAAGAAGATGTTTTCACGGTGATTAGTAAAGCAATGTAGTGCAGCATCATTCTGGCTCTGAAACGTGGCTGAGGCACTTTTCTAGCAGTAAGTAAGACATGTGGGGAAGAGGGCTCCAGATGGGGGCTGGGCTGGAAAGCAAGAGAAATATCATTAGTACTATGAGTGTAAGCACAGAGGAAACATCGAGGATACCATCATGTATCCCAGGAGCTGGTGGGGTTGGAAAGGAGGTATATTGTGCAATGGAAAAAAAAACACCAAATCTTAGTCAGGAGGCTTGGATTCAAATCCCAGCCCTTCCACTAACTAGCTGTGTGACCTTGGCTAAGTCCTATCCCCTGTGAAGGGCCCTAGTTACTTCATCTGTAACATACAGAGGTGAGACATCAATATCCCTTCCACCAATGTCCTACAGGTTCTTTCCCCCTAATAATCAATCAATCAACAGTATTTATTAGTGCTTATAGATTTGGATCGTGAGATTTATACCTAGAAGGGACCTCAGAGATCCTCCAGGTCCAACCAACTCACTTCACAAATGAGGAAACTGAGGCTCGGGGGGGGGGAAAATGGCTTCACAAGATGACTGCATTTCAGTGGTGGAAGGGTTCCATGAAGTTACCTAGTCTACTCCATCCTAGATCCTGCTTTTTCCCCTGCCTTGTATCTTTAATCTTTTTAAGGCACAGTGCTTAATAAATGCTGATTGACTAACTGACTGACTACTACATACCCAACATAGGTTCATCAGGATTTATCTTTGTCTGAAGAGCTTCAGGAAAGGCATACCTTCTACTTCTGAAGAAGTGTCATTCAAAACTCAGTTTTTCCTGACTCTAAGTCAAACACTCTATCTGCTGTGCCACCTAGCTCTCATGCTGTATCACATCATGGATACCTTTAAACCCTCTGCTCTTTTTCCAATGACCTTCCTGTAAGACAAGTAGAAGGATATACATACCTGGAAATGGAAAATCCCTGCATATCCTTGTGTGAAGCGTTGGCTTATTGGTATGATCTTTGTCAGAAGTTCGTGTTTGTGGGTTAAAGAGCCTGGTGCTGCTAGAAACCAGCAGTCACATGTCAAAAGACAAAAAACATTATTTATCAAATCTAATCTCAAGGGTTAGAAGGTGCCTCTGAGGTCACCTACTCCAACCTGTACCCGACCATGAACTCCCTTGAGAACATCCCCAATAAGTAACCGTCCAGGCTCTTTCAGAGGGTTCCCAGTGATGATGGGGACCTCATCATTTCTTAAAAAGCCCATTCCACTTTTGAACAGCTTCATTGACCAGGAAGTCTCTCCCCATACTGTTCCAACTGAAGCAACACTGTGTCATAGGAACTCTACACCATGCATTTTTCATTACTTTCTCCCAGAATTATAGGACCTTAAGCTAGGAAGGACTTTAGAGATCATCTCCTCCAATTCCCTCAGTTTACAGACAAGGAAATGGGAGCTCAGAAAGGTTATTGAGTTGCCCAAGGCCATGTAGGTAGTATGTGGCAGGACCAGAATTGAAACCGAAGTGTTCTGACTACAAATCCAGTGCTCTTCCTAGTGGACTACTCCATCTGTTACAGCACACTGCTTCTCTCAACACACACGATTCATGATCCTTTATTTCCTTTCTGACTGTATGCCCAGATGAATTTTGGGATGGGTTTTTATTGTCCATGTCTAGGAGAAACAGACAAAAGGGTGATAGTTGGGCAGATTCAGCCCCCAAGAAGGCTTAAGAGGGTCGTATCATTTCCAGAGAGTGGAAATATCTGTCATAGCCCAAAGGACCTCTATTTATTGCATTAGTTTAAAATGCAGATGAACCTTTGGTGGTATCAATCAATAAAAAATAGTAAGTGCCTACTCTGTAGTGAATTTCAGAACCATGTAAAATACAAAGCTGTATCCTCTTCTGCCATTGGAAAGTACTTAATATTGGTCTTTTGAGACACTCTGATCCCTCTTTTACAAAACTGCTATAATTCTAGGGACACTAGCTTCTCTGACACTCCACTCCCCATGCGACTCCCCATTTGGTGTTTTTCCTAGGTCTGCTCTTCCCAAGGATCAACTTATGCTCCTAATTTTTTCCTTTAATACATTTTTATTGATGCCCTTTGTTTCCACATTGTCTAAATTCCCCCTCTACAAATTCTTCTTAACATCTAGCTATGCAAGTGATCTAGGATTTTAGTAGTGTAAAAGAACTGCCATTGTGTGAACTTCCATTTCCAAAAGACCTTTTTAAAACTAATTTTTTAATGAACAAAAATTCATTTTATCTTCCTCCTAATATCCCCCTTCCTTGAAAAAAGAAAAGGAAAATCCTTATAACAAATACATGTAGTCAAGCAAAACAAAGTCTTTTATTGGATATGTGCAAAAATATAGTCACACTGAACTCTACCCTGGTCAGAGCATATCTGAAGTGTTGTGCTCAGTTCTAAGTGTATCAATTATGAAGAACATTGATAAGCTGGTGAACATCGAGAGGAAGGTACCTAGGGTGGTAAAAGGTCCTATGAAGATCAGTTGAGAAATTTTAGGATGTCTATTCTGGAGGAAAGAAGACTGAGGAAAAACATGATAGCTGTCTTTAAGTATCTGAAGAGTTGTTGTCTGAAAAAGAGATTCAATGCTGGGCAAAGAGGCTTTTTCACTCACTACTCATGTGCATTTGAGCCCATGATGTCAGGAAATACTCCCCAGCAATGGAAGCTATCAAAAAAGGGAAGCTCTGAGGATACAAAGAAAGACCCTGCCTTCAGGGATTGTACATTTTAGTGGGGGAAGACAACATATCAATAACTTGTGCACATAAGATGTATAGAGTAGATGGAAAGCAGCCTCGGGGGAAAGGCATGAGCATCTGGGATGATGAAAAAAGGCTCCCTGAAGAAGGGTGAGATTGAAGCCAAGACTTGAGGGAATCCAGGGAAGAAACAAAGAGGAGAGAGAACATCCTGAAAATGGAAGACATAAAAATCAGTGCAAAGACACAGAGATCAGAGGTCCATTGTTGTGCTCAAGGCATAGCAAGAAGGCCAGCATAGCTGGATCGTGGTATGTGGAGGGGAGTAAAGTATAAGAAGGCTAGAAAGGTAAGAATGGGCCAGGTTGGGAAAAGCTTTAGCGCTATAAAAGTCAATAGTTAAATCTGGAGCACTCATTTCTGGAGGGCAAGCTTCGGCCTAAATTATCTCAAGTGTCTTCTGGCTTGAAATCTTTGTTCCTAATGATCCTTTACTCTCTTGAGTCACTTTCACGTCTAACATTGCAGGTTGGGATACTCTAGTCAGGGTGTTGGTTTGGGAAGAAAACCCCACCAATCCATCCTCATTGGTGGGTCTAGGTTGTGTGGCTATGGCTTCAGACTCCCTACCTGGGAAGGAAAATGCCATGATCTTACCTGCTAGTCCTTGTTGAATATCAAAATTGCTGATACCATCCAGAATGAAGTGAGGGGAATCGGTCCCTGATAATTCCTTAGAGAGAGAAAAAGAAAAATCACGACCATGATGCTTTCCTACCATTATGACCTGGTGAGATGTTTTTGAGGATCTAAGGTTATTCTTAACTAGGTGTTTAAAAATGCATTTAAAAACTTTTAGCTTAGTCCTAAGATTTTGCCTTTAATCAATGAGTCAAACATTTTTTAAGTGCCTACTATGTTCTAGGCACTATGCTAAGGACTAGGGATACAAAAAGAGCTCTAACAAAAGTCAGTTAGTTAGCAGCAATTACTGAGCAGACTGGCTCAGACTTGCCAGAAACACAAAGAATCTGCTTTTTTATGCAGTAGCATATAAACAAAATAGCTGCTTTTTATAGATAACAAAAACTGAGCAAATGTAATGCAAACTAAATGACATTTATTAGAAAAAAATTTATGAAAATTAATAGGAATAAGACATTCAAATTCAACAATTATTAAGGCCTACCATGGATGAAGCACTGTGAAAGGTACTGGATATACGAACATGAAGAATTATACTATCCTCTTCCATGTGACCACCTTCTCCCATTGGGGAGGTCTTCCTGGGACTTCCATTTTGGGGGAGGGCCCAAGCTGACCAGCCTTCATTCCCCTCCCAATTCTACTGATCACTTTCTTGATTCTGACACCATGTTAGTTTCCACCTCCATTGCCAGCTCCTTTCCGCCCAATTCCTTTTCAGCTCTCTTTCATGTGTTTTCTTCCTTGATTAGTATGTAAGCTCATTGAGGGCAGGGTTTATCTTTCTTTTTTTCCTTAACCTGTGTCCCCAGTGCTTTGCACAGCGTTAGGTACGTAACAGACACCTAAGAAATGCTTACTGACTTTCCTGGCCTGCTTTCAATGACCTTCTGATCTAAAAGGAGAGGAGATTTCAGAAACATAGAGATTTTATATTTTAAATACTTGTGTAACCCAGGATTCAAAGGCCTTTTGCATGAGACTCTTCTCATTGGTGGAGATTAGTTGTACAGTGTTCCTTGCCTGTAAGGGAAGGTGGCAAGAGCTTAGGATAGGAGAGATCCTTGCCTTCTGACTTCTGGCTTCAAGGACACATAGTTTATGACTTTCTTTAGGGGGAGGTTCCTAAAGGAACAGAAGGATTCTGGGAAGAAGCCAAGAGATAGAATAATCATGTCACTATCCCCAGCTTACTGTGCTAGAGATTCGAGGGCATTTCCCCTGGGGTGAGATCTTGGACTCTCTGTCAGCTGACCTGAGCTATCTCACTCCTGGTAAGGCAGTTCATTTAGTGTATATATTGCCTAGTATACTCTCATCTGTATATTTTCTCTGATTTCTGCCCCCTTTCACCCTGGATAAATGGGTTTATTTGTTATCCACTACATATTATCTTTGTGGAACAGCATTTGGGGACAAGTTAAGCCTCAGCTATATAGCTTGGGGGGTATTCCTTCCCTGTTATGGAAAACAATCAGGATTGCAGCTCAAAACTAAAAATTATACCCCCTAGACTAACAACATCTAGACGGCAGATAGATTTAATTTTATCCTAGTACTGAGAAGAGCAGAGTGGCCAATGCTTGGTACCAATCTCTTGTTTCCCCTTCTAGCAGGAAACAAAGTCTCCCTTCAAGAAGAGTGAATACAGGGTACTGTAACAAACGTGTATTGACTCTCAAAGAATTATTGCTAAAATGTCAATGTGAGTATTTACACCTTGGAAATCAGCAAATGTTATAAATCAGGACTTGATTTGCTCTTTTGTTGATTGTCTTGACTTAAAGTGACGGAGAAAATGTTAACAATACAGATAAACTTAAAAGTATATCCTATAGAACACAAGCCATGGAGTCAGGAGGACCTGAGTTCAAATCTGGCCTCAAACACTTACTAGCTGTGTGACCCTGGGCAAATCACTTAACCCCAATTGCTCACACACACACACACACACACACACACACACACACACACCCTGCATTTCTTTTTGAGAGCTGGTTGTTAAACATTTACCAGTACACCCCTGGATAGGTGGAAGAAACTCTGAAAATATCTCTTCATGCCTCCTTTTGAGCCACATCTAGACAGATCCATGTGAACACATAATCTATGTAAGCAATGAGACACAACCCTTACACTGGCCTAGTAGGTCACTCACTCCAAATCAAATGTCATTATTCTGTTAAATGTGCAAATTAACATCAAATTATTCCTCAGTTAATGACCCCTTAGTGGAGATTGATTCAGAAGTATTCTCTGTAAATTAAAATGGCCCATCTAGGGACATTTTCTGACATAGAAATTATACTTCATTTTATGTGACCCAGTCAGAATACTACTTTCCCTAATTGAATTCAATTAAATTAGATAAACATTTATTAAGTTCCTACTATAAGCAAGACACTGTTGTAGAATCTGGGAATACAAAGATAAAACTAAAGCTGTTCCTGTTCTCATGGGGCTTACATTCTACTGACCTCAAAGTGGTTCAGTCAAATCACCTCAAAAGAGGAAATAGTATTTTAAAAGGACTGGGACAAATGTTCCAATTTTCTTAAAAAGGGAAGAGAATAGAACTTAAACTCTATAGATCAGGGAGCTTGATTGTTATTCCTAGCAAAATTTTAGTCTGCGTTATTAAAGAGAAGATTGCTGACTATCTGGAAAAGGCAACAGTGATCACAATCACACTAAGTTAACTCTACTTCCTTCTTTGACAGGGTTACTAAGACTGGTAGAATAGAAACATGCTATAAATATGTTTTACCAGGGTTTTAGCAAAGTGTTCGGTAGCCTTTCATGCTGTTCTTTGATGAAGAGATATCAACTTAGATAATAATACTAGAATTGAAGACAGATTAAATGCTGAGATAGAAAGTGAAGTCATTAATGGTTGCATGCCATACTCCTAGGAGGTTTTCAGCGGACTGGTATTATTTAACATTTTTATCAGTAACTCAGATAAAGGCTTAGGCAGCATCCTTAGCATATTTTTAGGTAATGTAATCTTGGGACAGATAAATAACTCACTGTATTCTAGGGGTAGCATCCAATAAATCTTGACAAGCTAGAACATTGGGTTGAATATTATGAGATGAAATTTAATAGTGATAAACACACAGTTGTGCATTTGAATTCCGAAACATCAATCTCACAATTACAAGATAGCAGGGGTTTGGCTATAAAATAATTTTTCCCTGAGAAGATCTAGAGGTTTCAGTGGACTTCAACTTCACATGAATCAACAATGTGACATGGTAGATTAAAATGTTGCAATAATTTTGGGCTGTGTTAAGAGAAGTATGTGTTGATGTTGTTGTTTAGACCTTCAGTGGACCCCAACTCTTCTTGACTCTCTGTGGGGTTTTCTTAGCAAGGATACCGGAGTGGTTTGCCACTTCCTTCTCTAGTAGATCACCTTTTGTGGTAGCTTGGGGTAACCCTTCATGGCATAGCTCATAGTTCATTGAGCTATGCAAGCCCTTCTGCCATGACAAGGCAATGATCCAGAAAGGGAAGAGAGATATAGCTTCCATGAACAAGGAAAATGATAGTCTTATTGTGCTTCACCCTGGTCAGACCCCATTTATGAAGTTGCATTCAGTTCTGAGCACTACATTTTAGGAAAGACATGACACACATGGAAATGCCCAGAGAAAGGAGGCCACTTTCATGAAAGGCTTTAAGATCCATGTCATATAATCAGCTGCAGGAACTAGAGATGTTTAATTTGGAAAAGATTAGATTCAGAAGTACCTGTCTTCAAATATTGGGGAGACCTGTCCTGTGAAAGAGGGATTAGACTTGATCTGCTTGGCCCCAGAGGGCAGAAATGGGAGCATTGGGTAGAAGGTACAAAAATACAAATTGAGGCCTGAGATCAGGAGGAAAAAAATGCCTAATAATAAGAGTTATCCTGAAGTAAATGGGATGCCTTGAGAGGTAGTGGGTTCCCTCTCATTGCAGTTCTCCAAAGAATAGTTGACCAACTACATATTGAGTACGTAGAGAGGATTCTTGTAGGTATGAGTTAGATCATGGTCACTGAGGTCCCCTCCAGTTCTGATATTCCATGACTCTATGACATACATGTGAAGGCCATGTCTATTCAAGTTAATTTAATTTAATAGATATTTTTTAAGAACTTTCTGTGCGCAAAGTGCTAGGCTAGGCTCTGGAGATGGCAAGATAAAAATCCAAGTCTTCCCTGTCATCGCAGAACTTATATTCCAATGAGGGATACATGGATGATAAGAGGGTTTATAAAAAAAAAAATAAAACAAAGTGATTTTTAAAAAATAGAAGAGAGAGACAATGCTGGCAACTATGGGCATCAGGAAAAGTGTCCTGCAAGAGGCGGCGTCTTAGCGGTGCTTGGAAGGAAGCCAGGAGGTCCCACAAAGAGGAAATGAGAAGAGAATGCATTCTAGACCTGAATGACCACTCATGCAAAGGCATGGAGACTTCAATAGAATGTCATGCACAATGAACAGCTAGTGGGTCAGTTTACCTAGAACAGAGAATATGTGAAGAAGAATTATAAGTGGGAGTCAGACTGTGGAAGGATTTAAATGACTATTGCATTTTATTCCTGTAGGCAATAGGGAATCATTAAATGAGTGAAATTTGAAAGAGTGAAGGGTTTGGAGAGAAAGATGATGAGTTCTGTTTTGGACATGTTGAGTTTAAGATGACTATGGGGCATCTAGATCAAGATGTTCAAAGAGCAGTTGGAGATGCATATGTATGTATGTATTTTACAAACACTCTTGTGTACATATATTTCTTGTTGGAATACAAGTACTTTAAGGGCAGATTTGATTGCCGATTTGATTGCCCTTTTCCTGGTATTGTTTTTTATCCTGGTATGCTCAGTGCTTAGTAGAGTACTTACACCTTAGTGCAAGTGCTTAATAAATGCTTGTTAAATTGAATTAATTTGAATAGACATGACCTTCAGATGTATTTCATAGACTCATGGAATGTCAGAGCCAGAGGGTACCTCAGTGGCCATCTAGTTTTATCTAG